GATACTTACAGTCATTCTCTTTACTCTAGAAGAAGGTCACACTGGCACATCGAGGGTTAACCTAACCTGTATCTGTTCAGCAAAGACAAAGACGTGGGTCTCCACTTTGCATCTCTTGTAATCGTTTGTAAACATCTGGTATTATACTGACCTCCTGAAAAGGAGAGAGTTAGCATGGGACTTGTGTTTGTGATCATCGGTTTTGTGTGTCAGCTTGGCCAGACTAAGGCTCCCAATCCCAGCTGTTTACTCAAACAGAAACCAAGGTGTTGGTTGAAAGGTATTTTGAAAATACAATTACTGCTTATAATTGGCTGGTTTCAGGTAAGGGAGATCATATCAGGTCATCTTAGCCAGCTCGATTTGGTGGATTAAAAGCCTTAAGAGCAGAGGTAGAAGAAACCCTGGCTGTGGATAACAAGTTCTCCTGCCTTCCCAACAGCTTGCTGAGCACATTCTAAACTTGCCTCACCAGCCCCAGTCACAGAGGTCGATAGCTAGCAACTAATCTTCTCAAAATGTTTGTATTCTATTTCTCTGCACTCCTCTCTTCTCTTTTCTCCTCTTCTTTCCTTTTCTTCTTCTTTTGTAGCGAGCAGAGATTGAGACAGGGACTTACTATGTAGCTCTGGCTGATCTGAGCCCCCTATGTAGAACTAGGCTGGGCTAGAGCTCCGAGATCCACCTGTCTCAGACTTTCAGGTGCTGGGATTAAAGGCGTGTCTCCCTTGCATCCTACCTGTCAGTCCTCTTTTCTAAAATAAAGCCAAGAATTTGGTAACAACGGCATTTCCCCTTTCTGACTTGTTTCGTAGGCTTCACCAGTGAAACAGTCTGTAAGTCAAGGACTGCGATTAGTCACAAAATCCCTTTCAAACTATGAGTTCTGATTCGTAGACTGAAATAGAATTGCGCTGGTTGCTATTTCTTTTAGCAAAACCTTTAGCCACCCTTTCTCAAGGCATTTGGCCTTCCCATCTAACATGTTATCTCTGACCGTCAGTGATAGCTCTTGTGATACGTGGTGGTAGCATTTTTCCTTCTTTCTTTGAAAGACCCAAGTTTTTTTTTTCTATCATTAAAATTTTTCATTCTCTTTTAAGCTGTCATTTTTTTTCTCTTTTTGTTATTGATGTTTTGGTGGTTTTGTTTGTTTGTTTGTTTGTTTTTTAACTAGCCTCTCCCTGTGTAGCCATGATTGGCCTGGAGCTCCCTGTTAGATGGAGCTGCCCTCAGACTTGCACCAGCCCCTCCCGTGTCCACCCCCCAAGTGCTGTCGTTTCAGGCCTGTGCCACTGTGTCTGGTTTTTTGTTTTTCCTTCTCCTGTTTTTGTTGTTGTTGTGCTTGTTTCCTGTCTTCTTTTAAAATGTCTTCATTGGTCTTTATCTTACGTGTATGTGTGTCTTGCCTGCATGTACGTGTATGTACCCATTGTGTTCTGGATGCGGGGAGGATGAGAAGAAGGGGTCACGTGCCCTGGAACTGGAGTTGTGAATGGTGGTGAGCCATCATGTGGGCGCTGGGAATTAACCGAGCTCGTCTGAAGGCAATAAGATGCTCTGGCCACTGAGCCATCTCCCCACCCACTTTTCTACCTCAAGATCTAGTTTTTGGTAGTTAAATTTCCTTTTTACTTTAAAAAAAAAAAAAGTTAAAGCTATATGTTTACCTCCAAATGTAACGTTAGTTGCAACTTTCAGACTTTGCTGGTGCCTGATTTTCATTGTGTTTTCCTAATGCAGGTGTTATTTAGAGGTGTGCAGTGGATTTTCCTGATAGTCATCTTGTTTCTGTGTTATTGTTAATCCACTAAAGTCAGATACGCTCTGCACTTTGGTCATTGAGGCCTGTGGATACATGCTTTACAGCCTGAAAAGAATTGGCCCTGGCATCAGAGCCATTGGCTATCATTTCCTCAGTGCCTCATCACAGACTTTTATATTTCCATTGATTTTTGTGGTTGCGGTTGTTGTTAGTTTGTCCTAACCGTTGTTGAAATAAACCTGTCTAATTTTGTACCGTGTGACTGTGTTTGTCTGTTTCTTGTAAACGCTGTCAGATTTTGCTATCATATTCTGAAGCTGTCTTTATCTCCTGGATAATTTGACCAAGGTTTCTTTTATTTATTTTTTAAGACCTGTTTTGCTTTTATGTGTTTGTGTTTCTGTCCGTGTCTGAGCACTTATGAGTGCAGGTGCCCGGGGAGTCCAGAAGGGGGCGTCGAATCTCCTGGAGCTAGAGTTGCAGGAGGCTCATGCAGGTTTCTGGAAACCAAACTCCAGTCTTCTTTGAGAGCAGGAAGTACTCTTAACCCCTGAGCCATCTCTCCAGCTCCCTGGCCTCTTTTTCCAATGAAATAGTTTCCTTTTGGGTCCTTGGATTAAAAGCTTCAGTATTCACAGTGACAGTTTTTTTTTGCCTGGCATGTTTACTGTTATTTACCTTTGTTTTAAACTTGTGTCCAAAGTAGAATCTGCAGGTCGAAGCCTTGAGTTTTATAAAAAGCGTTAACACTGGAAAAAGGTCAAAGGAAACTTTTCCTCAGCAAACAGATTATAACCCAGAAACCATTCTCTTCAGTGCTGTTAGCGTTGACTTAGAACACAGAGCTGACGGACAGGTAACACAGGGCCTAGAGCAGCTGTGGATGTGATGGTCACGTCAGCCAGGTGGCTAATGGCTGTCTGCAAATCTAAAAGCTTCATCTCTAAAGAGAGGCTTACATAGAACACCGCATACAAATCGGGCGTGCCAGCGTGCCGTGCTCTGCCTTCACAGAGATGGCTGTTAGCAGAGGTCAGGGACAAGTGTTAACCAGGCCCCCATGTGAGGTCTGGAACAATGGACACTAGTCCTGGGAACCAGAGCTGACCTCTGAACTCTGAGGCACACAGTTTTGTATGTAGGTCGTAGCTTTGACGGAATGCAAGCACAGGGTTTAGGGCGGTAGGGGCTTACATGTAATGCTCTTAGCCGTGCCCCTTGCGTGGACACATCCTGGTATCTTAAAGGCTATTGGCTGAAGGAGCAGAAGGAGCTACCGCAGCACTGGAGGGTGATGTGTCTAATCGATAGGATTTGCATGTTTCTTTCTTTTTTTCTTTTTCTTTTTCTTTTTTTTTTTTTTTTTTTGGTTTTTCGAGACAGGGTTTCTCTGTGGCTTTGGAGCCTGTCCTGGAACTAGCTCTGTAGACCAAGCTGGTCTCGAACTCACAGAGATCCGCCTGCCTCTGCCTCCCGAGTGCTGGGATTAAAGGCGTGCGCCACCATCGCCCGGCTTGCATGTTTATTTCTTAATACTTTTCACAGTCTAGGTGCCGTTCAAACTTTCAGTGCCTCCCTAAGAACCCTGGACTCGGAGATCAATTTCTTTTATCTCACGTGTTCCCAAAATAGTAGATAAAAGAGGCCCTTTTATACATACATCAGTAGACAGCTGGCTGATGAAAACCATCATATTTCCCCTTGGTAAATCAGACGGAGATCTTGCCAGGAAGCGAGTCCCGGTTTGCTAACGGCACTTGCTGAGGCTGACCTCCCACAGCATCGGGAAGAGCGGAAGGCAGACCAGGCAGGGCACACTCATGGCAGCTTGGCCCAGACTCTGCAGCCGTGCTGACACAGACTCAAAGCTCCCCAGTCGCTCTCACATGTGAGCTACTCGAGCCTGGTTTTATTTTTAATACTGTAAACAAACAGTAAAAAGTACCGTATACCGATTAGGTGGCGCTATGTGTAAACATGTATCCTGACTCTGGGCTTGGGACAGGTAGGAGTCGGCGTTCAGGGATGGAGTGAGCCAAAAGCAGAGATGGCTCCCGTAAAATTAGACTACATTTCTACTACTGTTTATGGAAACATGCTCCTTGGCACATGCGTCCTAGACCAGCAGCAACAGAACCCATGGAGTTACGTTTAAAGTCAGCTGCGGATAGGTGCCCGGGAACGTCCCCAACACTGAGAGCAGTTGGGGAGTTAAGTACCAAAAGCCCACACAGGCCCTTGCATTAAGTGCTCCTATGGGAAAAAAAAAAAAATGGCTTTAAAATCTGTATTATTAAAGTATGATATTCTAAAGGAAACTCTTGTATGTTTGTTCTAGTTTTATTTGTTTGCTTTTAGAGGCAGGGTCTGTATAGCCCAGGCTCACGGGGAAATAACTTTGTAGCTCAGGCTGGCCTCAGTCTCGTGGAGTTCCTCCTGTCTCAGCCTCACAAGGGTTAGATGCTAGCACACCCAGACTCACGGTAAATCCTCCCGAGGAGATTTTTGTGGGATTGACCACTGTCACGTGTAGGTACACAAAATGCAAAATAGCCCACTTCATTTTTGTTGTTAAGATTTTACATATTTGGGCCGGGCGGTGGTGGCGCACGCCTTTAATCCCAGCACTTGGGAGGCAGAGGCAGGCGGATCTCTGTGAGTTCGAGACCAGCCTGGTCTACAAAAAAAAAAAAAAAAGATTTTACATATTTGGTAAAATTAAGTTTACTCCTTTATTCATAAGTCATTTCACTTTGAAGGATTAAAGGTAATTTTTTTTCTTACAAAATTTCATATTTTAACTTAAGAAATATTTGCCCAGTCAGCAAGAATTGGTATACTGTTGGGAAGCACCTTTGAACTTTTTAGACTTTCTCTCCGTTTCATGAGCTGGGCAGGGCGTTCGTCTCCATCCCCTGGGGCCAAGGAGCAGGCACCATGGAGGAGGCTGGTATAGCCATTGGGAACTCAGTTTGAGAATGCCGAGAAAGGGGGAAATAATGAAAAATAGAAATACACCAAGCTTTTAGCATAGTGGTTGGGGAATCTCAGTTCAGGTTCGTGTTTGAGTGGCCCTGCTAATGAGGGTGTCCAAAGACGTCTGAAGCATTCCGAGCCTTGCGCAGGCATGTTCAGTGTTAGCATGGGTACCGTGCTGCTTCTACTTCCCGGGGTGGGCACGGTTCTCTGCAGCTCCGGCAATAAGGAGGCCCTGTCGCTGTGCTTGCTGTTCCAGACGCTGTTACTTGTGGTGAGTGTGATAGCCGTGGCGGCTGCAGTGATTCCCTGGATCCTCATTCCCTTGGTGCCCCTCGCCATCCTCTTCCTGATCCTTCGGAGATACTTCTTAGAGACGTCAAGGGACGTCAAGCGCCTGGAGTCCACAAGTGAGTGCCCAGGTTCTGGGGTGGGCGTGGTGAACGCATCCAGCTTCTGTGATTAAGGAGAACTGTGGTGAAGAAGATCCATGAAATTCTACAGGCTGACTCCGCTCCCGCAGCCCTCTCCAGGGTTAGCATTCATTCTGCAACTGTGCGTGGTTATTACAGCCCTCGGGGATCATTGCGGCCCTCCCTTATATCCCAAGTGTGACTTTGCAGCTAACCCGGAGAAAGGGTTAGAAGCATGTGTAGACTAATGCTCTGCCTGAGGAAGACCTTCCCCCCACCCATCACTCACGCCGTCCCTCCTCACGTATGCAGAGGAGACGCGCAAGAAACGTTTTTCTGGTGAATAAGATATTTCCAGCATGGGTCAGAACTAACTTAGAAGGAGAGTAATCGGGGAAGTTTTCTTCCCTAAGTGACGAAGGGAGGAACAGATTAAAGGAAAGTGGGAGAGGGATCCAACTGTCCTCAGGTGCCGGGAGTCAAGGACTGGAAAGGCACAGTTGGTGCTCATCACTGCTGTTGGCTCTTCGGAAAAGTAGGCGTTGATACTTTCAGGTTGGCAGCACGTGGGGGAAGGCTGCAGAGACTCAGCTATGCCGGCAGCAGCAGGGACAGCATTCTCTTGCTCCATTTCTCTTCCCAGTGTGGGGATAAGAAGGAGAATGTTCTGTGATTAAATCACTCCATTCTGTAGGTAACCACAGAGGATGAGCTATCCGGAGCCCATCTCATTATGAATGTGCAAGCATATTTTATTATTATTAAAATTAAAAATCAGATAAATAGAAGTCCTGCTTTTAAGAATGTATAAGGCCGACAGCCAAAACTGGGTCAGGAAGGAAGATACTTAAATCTTTTAAAAAACTATTTATTTATGTGGGTGCCTGTGCATCAATACGTGTGTGTTCTTGGAGGTCAGAAGAGGCTACCATGGACATAGAGTTACAGGTGGCTGTGGGCTGCCAGATAGAGGAGCTGGGAAACAAACGTGTGTCCTCTGGACGGGTCGCAGTCTTAACCTCCAAACCATCATTCCAGCCCCCACAAGGAAGATATTTGTACCAGAAAATGCCCATGATGAAGAATTGCTACAACAATTTAAAGCCAGCTCAACTTTCTGAAATCTGAGCCGTGAAGTGTTGGATGGTTAATAATAATAATAATAATAATAATAATAATAATAATAATAATAAATGAGCCAGGAAGTGTTGGATAAGAAGAAGGAGGAGGAGGAGAAGTAGCTCATCAATACAGCAAACTTTCTTTTCTCGTGACCTAATCTGTGTTTTGAATAAACTCTAAAGACAATAGGAAGTCCTTGCTGGCCACTACCAAAGGCAGTCATAGAATGTTGTGTCTCCTGTAGCACTTACTGGTATCCTGAAGGTACGCTAGCAGGGTAGAGTGAGCCTGTCAGGAAACCATCCTCACCTGACAGGGTAGCCCACAAGTCTGAGCCCACTGCAGGACATATATTCCCCATAGTCAAAGACAGGCAAAGGGGAATTTGTCTTTTAAATTCTGATAAGATAATGAAACCATTGGGCCTACAGTGGGAGTCTGGAGAAGAAGGGACAGTGACACCTGCCATGCTAGCCTCAACCTTGAGAGTAAGCTTCCAATTGGGTCACGGCCAGCACAGAGATGTCCCATCCGGGTCAGTGGTGTGGGTACAAGTGCAGTGTGACACCCAGACACATGGTGACCATCAGGGACTGCTCTCACACTGGTGGACAGAGGAAGCTTCTCTGGGACGCACAGGAGGCCCTGTCCATACGGCTTTCTTGTTGTCTGTGTCAGGCAGCCTTTCAGTTACTGGGAAATGGTAGCTATGTGCCAGCCCTTAAAATAACACTCTAAGAGGGGGTTTCAAAAGGTTTATATGGGTCTAGCTTTAATGTGTTGTGATAAGTCCTCTAGTGAAATTATGTTTTTAGAACCCTGCTGGACAAAAATTAAAATAATCGGTGAAAAATAATTTCTTCCCAAGGAAATAGCTGGAAAGTGTAGGATGGGCTACTGGAGGGAGGTAGACCTGACTCTGGTCAAAGGTGAACTGAACAGGAGGAGCACTCAGTTCCGTCTTTAAAATGACCAGGATTTGGGGGTGGGGGACAGGGACTTCTCAGGTTTCTGGCATTGTTTTGACTAGAAACCTGGAGCCCTCTAGGAAGCCCCAGGAGTTCCGCTTGGTGCTTCAGTGTCTACACTTGGAGAACAGGAGGCCAGGGAGGCCATGTGTGCAGCTGCGCTGAGCTCTCCGTTGTGTGTGCCCGTGTTTCCGCAGCTCGGAGTCCCGTGTTCTCCCACCTGTCATCGTCCCTACAGGGACTCTGGACCATCCGGGCGTATCGAGCGGAAGAGCGGTTCCAGGAGTTGTTCGATGCACACCAGGACCTGCATTCAGGTCTGTCCATTTCAGGCGGTGCTTTCAGAAGCCACCTGCGCCTGCTGCCCTGGACTGGATGCCTGTAGGCGCCCTCTGCCTACTCCTGGCCTCATGCTTTCTCCTTCTGCTCTTGGGCTCTGAGCCCTCTCAGAATCTCCTCATGTCTGGCTTTCTTCTGATTGGCTTGCTCAATCCTTCCGTCTTGGTGTCCTGTGGCTCTCTGTCTGTTTAGGACCTCAGTCAGCAGAAATATTTTGCAAATGACCCCCTGCCAAATGTTTCCTGCAGTGAGTGCTGTTTTGTCCCCACAGCATCTCCTTTCTTTGCTGCTATAAGCAGGGAAGCGAGTACCAGCAAGATGTCAGCAGGGGCTGTGGCTGTCCTGCAGGACCCTTCTTGGTCATGGACTATAGATCCAATTGGTGTTCTTGGTCAATGGACTGTAGATGGCTAACCATCCAATTAGTGTTCTTGATCCGTGGACCATAGACGGCTAACCATCCAATTGGTGTTCTTGATCCGTGGACCATAGACGGCTAACCATCCAATTGGTGTTCTTGGTCATGAACCATAGATAGGTAACCATTCAATTGATATGCACAGGGTAGGTAACAGATATGACTGACAGTCGCCAACCATCTATGGTTCTTTGTGCTCGTGTGAGTTCTTTCCTCCCAGAAGTTTCAGGATTCCCTTCAAGTCTCTAAGATCTGCCCCACCTTTATTGTGTCTTGAGGACACAAGGGCGTGTTAAAAACTACATGAGGCTCCTTTTAGCGTGCTAGTCAACTGGATACAGCCCCTGAGGGTGTCCCATCCCTGACCTGAGTGTGTGCAGAAGTAAGGAAAGTATCGGAGGCCAAGAGGGAGCTGTGTGCTTCGCTGTAGAACTGGAAGGTCGACCTATAAGCGGGTGGTGGGCTTCATATTATAGCCCAGTACTTTAAGAAGTAGCAGACCATTTTTCCATATTCTTTATTATTATTATATATCTGCTCATGAGCTCTTAGTTACCTTTCAATTATTTTTTTCTTTTCTTTTTTTACAAAGCCTCTGTGCTGTTTGAGGTATGCATCCTACGTTGCTTTGCATTTCCTGACTTTCTAGAAATGTTGAGTGTGAGACCTTGCCGCCCTGCTCTGTCCCAACATCTCGGTGCCCCTCACGCTCACCGCAGTTAAACATGACTTTTTTACTTACTCACTGCGCTTGTTGCGGTTCCCAAATCCAGAGGCTTGGTTCTTGTTTTTGACGACGTCGCGATGGTTTGCCGTGCGTCTGGATGCCATCTGTGCCGTCTTTGTCATCGTCGTTGCCTTTGGGTCCCTGATTCTGGCAAAAAGTAAGTGCAGATGTGAATAACTATTTATGGTATGATTACAATTTATAGCTGTGTTTACAGTTATTAAATTAAACTCTTGCCACCTTGTCTAATGGTGCGTTCTATGTGGTTCTAATAAAGTGTGTTAAAGCTTTTACAACATGTCAGGGTGGGTAGGATCATGCAGTGTGATCCAGTGAGAGTCTGGATAAGTTCTTTTTATCTTTGTTAGAACGAACCGAGGTCTAAACAATGACATTCTGAAAATCCCTGATCTGGTAGCCCGGAGATGAGACCCGAGTTTACTGTTAACGTTTTGTCCAGACTAGGGCTCTGTATTTGAGCCTTGGGACTGTTCTTAGTTTGCTGATGTCCCTGTGCACATGGGTGAGAGAGACCCAGCACGAAGCACACTGTGCTCACTGCCAGGTGGGTACCAGAGGAGCAGGTGTTGGCACGTGTGGCGTGAACGCGCCATGCCTAACCCCTCTCCAATGACACCTCTGAATTAGGATGTTTATTCATAGAACAATGGGAGTCGTGTTTTACTTTCAAAAGCATCAACTCCTCGGACACATCATCCTGTTTGCAGTGGTTTCCAACTGCGGTTGCATGGGACATAGACAGTGGGATTACGTAACAGGCCTTGGACCATAATGACGAGTCTGAATAATAACATTAGACCTCACGTGCACACTGCCTTTCTCGGATGTGTGTCAGTCCTCCCCAGATGAACAAACTCATCTAATCATCTCTCGGCGTTCATAACGGGCTTTTTAAATTGCAGCATGAGCTCAATCAGTGAATGGAAATGTAACGATGGATTACCCTGGGTGTACACAACTTGCTGGGTCCTCTTGGTAGGGCAGCAGAAGGCTGCAGGATGGAGTTACCACTGAGACTGACTGTCCTCTCTTTCCTCCTCTCAAAGCGCTGGACGCTGGGCAGGTTGGCTTGGCCTTATCCTATGCCATCACACTCACGGGGATGTTCCAGTGGTCTGTGCGGCAGAGCGCCGAAGTGGAGAATATGGTAATGTTTATCTGAGCGTTTCGGCCTTTTAACAGTCCCCTTTGCCATTAAATGACATAAAAGCAATTCTTATGTAAAATATTAAAACTGTTATTTTTGCATCATAGCTAACGGAGTTTTTTTTTAAAGGTCCCGCTTCCATCTGTTTAATGTTAATGTAAAATAAAATGTATACATCTTTTTCTCTGCCTTATGTCTGCTATGTCAGCAGGTTTTAGATTCATCACAAGCTGTCTTCAAATGTAATAAATGCCTCTGTAGGAGGGAAGTTCTGAAATCCGAGAGAGGATATAGGCTCATTTCTCCGAGGCCTGTTTATTTTTGTTTCTTAATGGGTAATTCCTCGTTCTTGGTAAAAGAAGAGTTGAGTTCAGTGTTTTGAGGCTGTTTGTTTAATTAATAGCTCTCCCCACTCCGTCATTCCTACACACTCATCCCCAGTTTTACCATCTCCCACGTGTGAAGTAGAAGGCGGGAGGCCCCGGGGTTACTGCTGTCCTGTCTGTTGCTGGTGGGTAAACGCCCCCCCTCTAAGGTGCTTCTCAGAGGTAGTGCTGTATGGCCATAGCAGAAGGTTTAGTCAGCATGTGAATTGCTTCTTCTTCGAAATATTTATTTCTGCTACTGAGATAGAGAGTGAACACAAGCTCCTTCCGTTTCTTCTTCTCTCACACAATGGAAATTTTTACTGTGAGTCCTCAGGATGCCTGAGCTGCCTGCTCTAGGATGAATGTCCATTCTGTAGCCAGAGATTATTGACCGAAGGACATAAACGTTTGGTTTTACAAATATCCTTTCATTTTTGTGTTTGTGGAAGGGGTGTGTGTGTGTTATTTGTGCACGTCGGAGGCAGGAGGTTTCTATGAGATGCCTTCTTCATGACCCTTCACCTTGTCTTTTGAGACCAGTCCCTCACCGAAATCAGAAGATACCAATTCAGCAAGACTGGCAAGCTAGTGAGCCCTGCCCTGTGTCTCCAGTCCTTGGGCCTTCATGTTTACATAACAATCAGTTAACCCATTGAGCAGGCTCCCCAGCCCCTCCTCTTGCTTTTCACTCCGGTTACAAGGTCGAAGGAATGGGCTATCATGAGTGAGGTGTCAGATGATGGTTAAGTCAACAGGGTCCTCAGTAGTCTTGACATCCAGAAAGCCCCAAGCAGGCCTTGCTCAGCAGTGTGTAGGCCAGACACCTCCACAAGCAAACCCCTGGTTCCTGACCCGTGTGGATGCCTTGTCTCTTCCAGATGATTTCTGTGGAGAGGGTGATTGAATACACAAACCTAGAGAAGGAGGCGGCTTGGGAGTACCAGAAGCGCCCACCCCCGGGCTGGCCCCACGAAGGGGTGATTGTGTTCGACAACATGAGCTATACCTACAGCTTGGATGGGCCTCTGGTCCTCAAGCACCTGACGGCCCTCATCAAATCCAGAGAGAAGGTTCGTTGAAACGGTCTCGCCCTCTAGAGTGTCCCCCGAAGATTTAGGCTGCATGCATGTGCTGACATCCTGGCGAATCTGTCAGTAATACTCTGTCCAGGGGCGAATGGACTATGTGATGGAAAACTAATATTTCTTTTTAAAAATAATCTCCACTTATTAGCATTTTTAGTTATTCTAAAGTATTACATAATAGTTTTGAATATCTTTTTTTTTTTTTTGGTAAAAAATGTTTTCCTCGTTTGAGAAGAAAACTAGTGTTTCCTTGGTAAAGTGCCCGGGTTGCGGTGCGCCAGAATTTAACTGGACCGGAGTTGAGTATATCTGATCTAATGCTTCCTGATAATTATCTGATCTACTGTTGTCCCTGGACCCTTGTCACTGAGATGCCCGTGTCTACTTCCCGTTTTTATCCCTCCATTGTCAAACCAAACGCTTTCTCCCCTCCCCCCATTCTCCACGCCGACCCTCCTCTCCTCTTACCTGGTGCCCTCGTTCCTTTCCTTGGTCTTTCTTGCTTTCCTCACAGCTGTGTCCAGCCCCTCACCCATGGGCTGCATGAAGCCCAGATTAGCTGTGAGCACAACCCATCGGAAAATCAGGTTCACTGAAAACGTGCATGTGTTTTTGTTTTGCCATTTTTCTGTTGTAACTCAGTTGTGCATTGGAGATGACCTCGTCTTGTCTCGGCCTCAGCAGGCTGGACACCCTGCTTCTGTTTTCTTCTTTGCCTTCTGCATCTGGCGTCCTTTCAGAGGGGTAGAAGGGATGTGTGCTCCCTGTCGCCTCCTGTTTGGGCAAGCTGTTGCTATCAGCCAGGCCTAGACATACCCTGGTAGAACTGTCAGGTCAGTGCTCAGTCACCATGGAAACCCAACCAGAGATAGGTGGGCCAAGCTCAGGCCGAAGGCAGGACAAGACCCAGAGACTCAGGTCGAGTAGAGAAAGAGATTCGGAGCCCGCTGTGGGGTTAAAGGGGTGTGGACTGATTTACCAGCAAGTGCAGCTCTTTCAGTGGCTCCAGCGCTCGTGGTCTGGTGCCCTGGGCCAGGACCACAGCAGACTCTTGCACAGACTAGACCATGACAAACTAGGCAGTAAGAAGCGCTTTGCCACGGCAGCCTTGGCTCCCAACACAGGCACACACTCCCATACACGGGGTGTTCCCGGTTGTTATCTGCTGTCCTAGCCTGGGCTGTCCTTTCCTGATGACAGCTGGCAGACCCTTTAGGCTGTGCTTCCTTTCTCCGCGATTCCTGTAGTCTCTCCCTTCCCAAATGGGCCTACAGGTAACAAATGGCTGTGGCCTTGCTCCTTCCCCCACCCTGGCAGATGAAAGTTCAGGGTCCTCCCTAGTGCCTGCCTCAGTTCTCCTTAGCAGGTCAGCCTGGTCAAGTGGCGGGAGCTGGCTCAGCCTCTCGCACCATCGGACGTATAAGCGTCAGCAGCCACCTTGGTCCTGTGGACCTGAAGAGGCTCTCCCTTCCCATTCGGTACCACCATTGTGCTTTATAGAGGAGCTCTCCCTTCTACTGCCTTTTCACGGCTGAAGTCTGTAGCCTCCCGAGTCTTTAACTCTCCCATGGAGTTCTTCTGAGGATAACTGATAACCCTTTTCATGCGTACAGCTCGTCTCCGCCTCTGCGAATGTCTCTTCTCTCGTTCCCTTCTCTCGATGCTTTAAGACGCTAGTGTTTGTGTTGTCTTTGTGTGTTGAATTAAGAGCGGCGGGGCTGCATCCCCGGCACCCGGCCGCCAGCATGGCTAGCTTATGCCCGAAATAATTACACGGAAACTGTATTCTTTCAAACACTGCCTGGCCCGGCTAGGTCCAGTTTCTTATTGGCTAGCTCTTACATATTGTTCTAACCCATTTCTAATATTCTGTGTAGCCCAAGAGCTGGCTTACCAGAGAGGATCTTAACCTGCGTCTGTCTGGAGTGGGAGCATCATGGCGGACTCCTCCTCTAACCTTCTTTCTCCCAGAATTCTCTTCTGTTTTCTCCACCCACCTAATTTTCTGTCCTATGAGGGCCGAGGCAGTTTCTTTATTATTACAAGACCCACCTCCATCATTTGTGTTTACTATAGGGTCATTCGTAGTGACCAAAAGGTAGGAGCCACCTAAGTACCCCTCAAATGGGTAAGGGAAGTGTGGTGGAGACGGTACTCAGTCTTTAAAAGGAAGGGGGAATTCCAACACATTCTGCAACATGGCTGTACCCTGAGGGCATCACACTGAGCGAGAGACCGCCCATAGAACCACAATACTCTAAGAACCCACTCCACCACCTGGACTCATAGAAACAGGAAGGGGAATGGCAGTTTCCAGAGCCTGGGGCAGAGGGGAGCAGGGAATGAGAATGCTGTGATGAGTGCAGGAGTTCTTGTTTTATAAAACAAGCTCTTTATAAAAAGAGCTCTGGATACAGATAGCAATGGAGGTTCACACCCATGTAAATATAGTTAATGCTACTGCCCTGTGTGCTTAAAATAGTTGTGATGGGGAATTTTATGTTCTTTTCCCATAATTTAGAAAGTATATGAAGTAGTTCAGCATGGTAGTTAACCTAGTTTTCAGTGTGATGAGATTTGTAGTCCCCTGGGAGACAGGCCTCTAGGCATGCCTTGTGGGGAGAGATATCTACCTTAGTTTATTCAGATGATGACACCGGTCCACTGTGGGCGACGCCATCCCCTGAGCTGGGATCATGGACTGGTCCACTGTGGGCGACGCCATCCCCTGAGCTGGGATCATGGACTGGTCCACTGTGGGCGACGCCATTCCCTGAGCTGGGATCATGGTCTGTGTAGACAGAAGAAATGGAGCTTGATAAGCAGCCGTTGTTCTGTGTGGAGGCGATGTGGCCAGCTACCTCATGTTTCTACTGCTCTGAATTTCCCATCATGGCGGACTGGAACCTAGACCGCCAAAGCAAAGCCTCCCTCTCCATTTCTATCAGGGTATTTTTGGCAAAGTAACTAAGACAAATGCACCTGTGTATTTTGCCACAGGTTGGTGTGTGTGTGTGTGTGTGTGTGTGTGTTGTGGCATGGTTTTCAGTCCTAGATCTATATCTCAGTGTCCTTCTGGAGGTTGGGGAACATGCCGCGTGCTCTTCCTTGTTCCCCAGTAAATGTCATTCTGCAGGGCACGTGCTAGATACTGATGACAGCTGGCTATGAACACGAGTGACCAGGAAGCAATATGCAGGCAGGAAGAAGCCTGTAGCAACACACTTCGTAAGACAGCTCTGTCAACAGCCCCTTTTCCTAGACAGGCGTGGGAGATTCCCCCTTCCCTACTCCCTTTGTTTTTATTTTTATGCTTCTGTGGATTGGATCCAGGGATGGACATGGATAGGCAAGTGTTCTGCCCCTGCCCCACGACGCAGCCCCTGGAGTGTTAATACTTCTCAGCCTGTTCCTCTTAAGCGCTCCGTCCCCCCAGCCCGTTTAATGGCCTAATCACAGCTGTGATGTAAAGAGTGGATACCCTTGTGACTTGAAAGGATAAGTGTACGACTTGGTGCCCAAAGGGTATACAACGAGCAGCTTTAGCAAGCCACTTGGCAAAAGCCCGATCCTAATTATTTCCACGGCTTCCTTGTAGGTCTGAAGATGGGGTGGCTGACTGTGTGGGTAAAACATGAGCTTCAGCGTTGATGAAAGCCAAGCCTCGCCGATGGTGTCCGGACAGCTCTGTAGGGTGTCTGCTTGCTCGCAGATGGCATACTTATCAGATCTGACGTGGCGAGCGCAATTCTCTTAATTTGCACGTGTCTTCAGTTCCCCTGGGAGCCACAAATGATGAATTATATAAGAAACTCTGTTGAACAAGTTAGAAAACAATGTAGCGCCCCAGACTCGTATTCTGAGTCAAAAAAAAAAAAAAAAAACAAAACCCAAATCGTAGGATCACCTGAGATGCTAAAAGGTTGGAGAGGAAATTAAATTTGAAGGCTGAACTGTATCTGTAATGACTTAATTTTTGACTTGTGTCTTGCCCACCCCACCCCAGGCAGCTATTGCTTTGGTTTACGTTCATTTAGAGTCCGCCTACATAGGCAGCTGCCTTGTGGAATGTCTCTTTTGCCTGCGCGTGGGGTTCCCTCTCCTTAAATCTGTTCCCGTTTGCTGGCTGCCCCTTCAGTGCTGGATTCAGGCTCGGACATAGGACTGTGCCAGCACAGCAGAGATGGAGCTTTGTTCCCTTTCTGTGACGTCCTCTGAGATCCCCGGAAGTTGCAGTAAAGAAGAAACTGTGGCCACAGGTTCTTAATTTCTGAAAAGTACAAAAATAAGATCTGGAGCACCCTGGGCCTCCGGGTTAGCATCTAAACACTGACTGCGTTTTTTCATTTAGGTGATTTTTGTGGTTGATTTGATCATCTGAGAGAGCAGATAGATAGATCTGGGTGTGCTGTCTTTTTATTTTTTTTCTTTCCCAAAGCTATTACTCTGATAATACATTTTTACAGGTGTGTGCCAGACCTTGCTATAATGTGCAGGGATATTAGTTTCCTGCCTCCTCTCTCTCTTAACATAATGTTTTCTCCGAGAGCCGTCCTCTCTCTCCTGTCCCTTATTCCTAGCTGAGCCTGAAGCATCACAGCCAGGAATTTGGTGGGAATGCAGATACTCTGGGCCAGACCTAGCATTTCAATGAACCCTCCAGCCAAGTGTTGTGTCTCATGAGGAATTTTCCTTGATTACTATGAAACTTTCTTTTATATCCTGAAATTGATGCCATGGGTTACCTCACCCTCTTCTGGGACAACTCATGAGAGTTTTGACTACAGCCCTAGGCTGTGTGTCTGCGTGCATTAGTGTGTGTGTGTGTGTGTGTGTGTGTGTGTGTGTAGTTTGTTTGTTTGTTTGTTTTTTGGAGGCAGGGGTTTCTCTGTGTAGCCTTGGCTGTTCTGGAATTCACTCTGTAAACCAGGCTGTCCTTAATTAAACTCAGAGATCCGCCTGCCTCTGCCTCTCCCCAGTGCAGGGGGGATTAAAGGCGTGCACCTGGAGTATTTTTTTTTTTCAGTTTTAAATTCTGTCCACCATGAGGTAATTTGACTCTTCCTGATCACGTGTTCATGCACGGATTTGCACCTTTCCAGCGGTGACCTCTGTCACAATTGTTGTCACACAGAATCCAGCCATCCCTGAGCAGTGGCCTCTATTGCGTAGCAGGCCACAGACTGCCAGATTCGAGTCCTTTTCATCCCCTCATGGCACGTAAGAGTAAACCGAGGGCCAGTGAGACAGCTCGGTAGATAAAGGTGTTTGCCCAGCCTGTTGATCTGAGTTCACCCCATCCCAGCCCTGAGCTCAGAAGGGATAGGACAGCCTCTTCCAGGTCGTGACCCGACTGCACACATGAAGATAGTATGTCACGGAGTTTGTAGATGTTTAAAGCAAAAGTGTTGGGGAGTCTGTTAGGAGTGGAGATGGCCACATGAGAGGCAGATCGAGTGTTTGGTGGCATTAGACGTTTGAAAAACTCATGATATCAGCAGATAGAAAGGAGTGTGAACGGCATCTGGATAGGAGGGATCACACTCCTTTCCACCTGCTAGGCAGGTGTGCCAAGTGTGTAACACACAGGCTCTTGTGCAGGAACCCTGGAGGAGGTCCTGTGGAGCTAAGGGTGGACAAGTCAGTCAGGTGTGCATATACCGGTTTCCTGGGTGGAACACCAGGAGCAGAGCGAAGCCTTAGAGGCTGCATTTGCGAGGGGTACCCAGAGAGCCGAGGACACCAGCAGGGGTCATCTCCTAGTGAGACGCGAATGGAGAATTCTCCTTTGGGGAAATCGCGTTACTGCTGATTAGAACAAAGTTGGAGCATTTGGGTGGGGATGCACAAGGCCGTGGGTGCCAGTGGAGATCAAGAACCTGCTTCTGGAGGCTGGCTTGGCAAGACTCAGCATCTTCTTTTGAAGTGCTTATACCTGTTGCTCAGTAGTTCCGTGCCGAGGGATTTATCTTAGGGAAATAATTAAGGTTGTTTGCAAAGGCGTAGCCTCAAGGATAGTTGACATGATGCTCTTTATAACAGCGAAAATATTTTGTAAGCAGCTGAAACATCCACAGATCGGAGATTTATTCAATGAATAATCATGTGTACTCTTACATGTGCCTTAAATATTTATGTGAAATAGTAAGTGGCTACAGCATCGTTTAGATACCCGAGTTTCCATCTTAGGAACACACACCACATGGATACACACGCACACACATGCATCCACATGTTAAGCGTCATTCCGTCAGCACGCTGAACTCAGGGTTAGTGTTTATTCACTTCGCAAATTGATTGCCCTGATCTTAATTGGGATGAGTTTATTCTATTTGTTCTTAACGTGACCTTGCTTTCTGCAGTTGGCTGTGGGAGTTAAAAACAGAGGGATCGTGTTGGGAAACAGAGGATCTTTGGAGCTTGAAGTCAGGCTGCCTGCGAGGTTACTGGAAGTAAGATGGGCAACGAGAGCCTGGTATCTTTGTGGGGAAGAAGCTAGGAAATCGAGGGGAAGTCCAAGGCAGCAGCTGTGTTGAATGGAGCATTAGCTGTCGGTCCTACTGAACATGGACTATGAAGATTGATCCACATAAAAAGTCTAACACGTTGAGGCTGGAGAGATGGCCTGTCTGTTAGAAGCATATACTGCTCTTCTGGAAGACCCAAGTTCGGTTCCTAGCATCCACAGTGGGCAGCTCACAACTGCTTGAAAGTCCAGCTTCCAAGGCTCTGCCTCCTAAATACCCACTCTCTCATGCATATGCCCTCATTCATGGACAGACATGCACAAGCACACACACACGCACAATCTCTTTCTAAAGTCTAGCGTGTTGCTGTGATTGTTAGAGATCAGCCTTGTGTAAGTTGGGAAAACAGGCAATTGAAAGTAGGCCATCTCTTTATGTTGCTTTGTGGTATTTCCATAGACTTGGTGTCCTTCTCCATTGGCATCTATGAAAATCCATCAGTTACCCGTGAAAGTCTTTCGGATGATCGTTTTTTGTTTGTTTGTTTTTTGTTTTTTTTTTTTACTTTGATGGGAAAAAGTAGCGTTCTGTTTTGCTTTAAAGTATTCCTCCTTAAGTCTGGAGTTCCCCCTTCTGTCGTCAGACTGCTTCAGCAGCCCCTGTCTCTCAGCTCTTCCTTTGTAGAGATGAGTGAGTTGTACATGTGTATGCAGAGACATAGCTAGCTAGGTACAAAATCCAGCCCTTGGCAAGGTGTCAGTGCCTCCGTGGAATGGATAACGGCTGCAGGGATTCCAAAAACTTACAAAAAGTTACCTTTCCTTTTCTCTCGACTTTTTGAAGGGCCGATGCTGATTGTGCTTGAAAGTATTCAAATTGACGTAGCATGTAGAATCCCCAGCATGTAACCAGTAGGTGGTTGAGTTTGGTTCCTTCCTGTTTGAATGGTGAGGTATTTTCTTTTTAATTTACTGAATTAATTTGCAAGTCATAGAAAGCATGTCTATGCTCTTCATTGACTCCCAATTTTTAATAAGAATGATGTCATCTCTTTGGATGCTCTCACCGGTTGAGCCGGCTCACGGGAGAAAAGGCTGGTCTTCTGCTCGTACACCCCTAAGAGCCAGCTTTCATAGTTCAGTTTTTCCCTGACCAGCAATCCCCTTCTTGTATTGATTCTTTGATCTTATTGTCAGTGCCCTTCATTTCTCTCTGCTCCGACTTTAATAAGAGGAATGATTCTTCACACAAATCTTTCCCAAGGGGCAATTGTAAGTATTAATTGGTTTGTAAACTGCCTTTTGAACTGCTCAGATGAAAGGAGCCGTGTAAATAGCAAAGGCTGTTTGTTGGTGCTGCCGTTGTTGATCTCTTTACGCATGTTTGGGCTACTGGTTACCGTCTTTTAAGATGCGGAGACCTGCACTTGCAAATTTGAAGGTATTTCCTCTGGAGCCACAGCATAGCCAAGTAGTTAATAACCACAATGGTTTAGTTTCTCCGTCTAGATGAATTCATTGTAAATGATAGGACGCTGGTTGAAATGATGCGTCTTTATGTGTAACACTTCTGGAATGAGCCGTTAATTCCTCTGTGGAACTATCCAGGCAGTTCCCAAGGTTCTGTGCACCCAGAGCTTGGAAGGGATGCTCATGAAAATCGACCTTCTTACCACATCCTGAGGATGCTACTGGTTAGTCCCTAACATTCATAGGACTCTTCTGTACCCAGCGAGTCTTACCCAGGGGCACTTTTGCCAAGACTTGACATTTCAGGTCCCCACAGTTAGGAGGCTGCTAGGGACATCTAGAAAGGACACCCCAGGGATGTTAGGCGGCATCCGGGTCAGTGCCCACCGTGAAGAACTGCAGAGCTGAGGCTGAGGAACTTTTAGGTAGAAACAACACAAGGTAGAAAGTTTTCATAATTCACTTTGAAAATGAACGGCTTGCCTGCATCGGTTGCATATGGTTAATGTGCAATCCTCTGGATTTCTTTATAGGTTGGAATCGTGGGAAGAACAGGAGCTGGAAAAAGTTCCCTCATCTCGGCCCTTTTCAGACTGTCAGAACCCGAAGGAAAAATTTGGATTGATAAGATCTTGACAACTGAAATTGGACTTCATGATTTAAGGAAGAAAATGTCAATCATACCTCAGGTATGCAAGTTAGAGCGTCCACACGTGTTTCTTCTGCAGGGGTACTGAAGTTTAATTGCTTTTAGTTTTATTGCTGGCTTTTTAATTGGATGAAAGGGTTGATCCTTTAACCAACAGGCAGTAAGACATAATTCAGCAGATAGTTTTAACAGCTATGTTCATGGCTGTCTCACGGGTGTGCGTGCTTTTGGGGGAGGGGGCCGTGTGTGTGCACATGCGTGCTTGTGGAGTCAGAGACAGACAGACAGACTGGGGAAGATTCAGTACTTCTTACCTAGATTCATTCTGGATTCAGCTCCCGCAGGTGTTACACTTTAATTCGCTGATATTAAATAATATTTAGTGGTCAAAAGACCGTAAGTGCAATGAGGGACTTCTGCTGTAGGCAGTGAGTTCCCTGTTTCCCCTTCAGGGATGGTCATCTCCATGCAAAGGTCTTCTGTGGAGCAGAGACGGGCTGTGTAGACACTCTCAGAATGTGCCTGCATCTCTAGGTACTACTGCCAGGGCGCTATGGTGTCAGCTCTGAGAACAGTGCTGAAGGCTGAGCGCCTCACACAGGCCGCCATGTTAGTAGAGGCTTTAGTTGCCGTTTCCTCCTGGGCTGACCTGGTTTTTTTTTTTTTTTTTTTGTTTGTTTGTTTGTTTGGCTGTTTCACAGCTGAAGACTTCTAGGCAGTGTCTAGAGACTGGATTACGTATACACCAGAAGCTCTTAGTTTACTTTAGCTTCTTGTTGAGTTGCTTTTAGTTGTACCCAGCATAATTCAGAAAGTCTTTATTGAGTAATTACTATCCTCTGTGTAGACGGCCACGGGCAGCACGGGGCCTGACCTCACAGGCCTGCCGCCTGCATGTGGAGCCTGATGGCTTCCTCCTGCCCCCACTTTGGACGCTTGCATGGATTCAGCCCCAGGCTTGCTGTTTGGGGCTTCAATTTGGGCATGTAATCATCTGGCCATCAAGGGGAGCTGGGGAACCTCTCCCCCCCCCCCCCCCCAGTCATCCCTGATGTGAGGGATACAGAGAGGAGACGAAGGAAAAGGCCAAGCAGCCCTGCTTTCTGAGCGTGCGCCAATCATGGGCCTTTGTTTGTTTCTTTGTTTTATTATAAAGGACAGAGAACCCCTTCATCTATTCCTTCCTACGTTGACCTGTAAAATAACAGAACTGTCCCTCCGCTGTGATGAGGAATCAGAACTCTGTGTTCTGCTGGTGGGAATGCAGGACACAGCATGGAGACTCCTTACAAGACAGATGATAGGACTACCACATTATCCAGCCATTCTGCGTGTGCGTGTGCGTCTGTGCGTCTGCGTGTGTGTCTGCATGTATGCCTGCGTGTGTGCGTCTGCGTGTGTGTCTGCATGCATATACCATACTATATATGTAGGGAATGGCAGAGATAGTCATTCACTTGTGTTTGTAGCAGTGGCATTCACAGTAACCAGGAGGTGGAAACCACCCAAGTGTCTATCAACAGATGAATAGCTAAAGACAAAACAGCTTATACAAACAGTAGGAAGTTTCTCAGCTTTACAAGAGGAAGAAATTCGGATGCATGCTGCAACATGGGTAAAAATTCTAAAAGCTCAGACCAGCCAGTCACAGAAAAACAGAGAGCAAATGGTGCTGCGCATGTGAAGACTGGTCAACTCCATGGAGACACAGGAGCATGGCGTCTGTCAGGGACTAGGGAAGGCTGGGATGGGAGTAGCTTTGTCTAATGGATATGGGGATAAAGCTTCTAAGAAAAACAAAAGCCCAGCGATTGTTGATGACCACTACGTAAAAGTATAGAGACAGTACTGTTGACTGTGAGCCTTGAAGTGATGAAGAGGGGAGGGGCCGACGAGACAGCTCAGTGAGTAAAGAGACAGACAACTTCTAAACCTAAAGGCCTGAGTTCAACTCTCATTTTACCCACAGGGCTGGAAGGAGAAAACCCAGTCCCAAGAGTTGTTCTCTCACCTCCCCAAGTACACCCCAGCACACGTGTATGTGTCCATGTGCATTCTCACATACATGTAATCGTAATGATAATGGTAAGAACTCACTGATTAAGGGGTAGACTTCATGTTGTGTATATATTCCGGCAAGCTCTTGTAAAGATCAAAACACAACCCTTGTAAGGACAAGAAAAAGTGGAAGCCGTCTCCCTTCCCATGAGCCTCTCTGAAGTGTGGCTACAGTAGAACTAGATAGAGTTCAGACCCCAGTGCTATCTGTGAGGATTTGTTTACCTGATCTTAGGCGTGTCTGTAAAGTCCTCGCACCAGGTCTGCGGATGAAAGGCTCTAGAAACGTGCCCCATGCTACTTTTAATGCTGCTTAATAAGAAATGTTGTGTGCTCATGTACATAAAAGAACTCTAAATAAAGAAGCAGCGTTAGATGATTCTTGGCTCCGCCGGGAATGTTTTGGAAGCACATCTGAGCGAAGACTGAATACACCTTGACATCACCGGGTTTGGTTCTGTTCCATGAGTTCCCACCCTCCCTTTGTGCAAATGCTCTGTGGATCTGCTCCCGGGAATGCGCTCACAAAGCGGTGCTAACAGAGCTCTGCATCCTTGTGGACCATGATCACCAAACATTGGAGAGCGCAGATCCTCTCTGTGCCTGTCTCCCAGATGCGAGTTGGTTGATATAAGAAACAATTTAGAGAGAGCGTGCAGCACACAAAGCGCCCAGAATAGACTGTTTCAGGGCGTGTGCTTAATGTCAACACATCCTGTATGTCCCTCCTTCTCCGACGGCCTCCATGAAGTAACCTCACCTGGCCGCAGTAGCTTAGCTCCTGCACAGATGCCTCATGAAGGAGCCACTACACAACAAGACCACGGAGGTGGCCCAGCATGTGGTTCTTAAGAATGTTCAGGAAATAGTAACTATTATTAAGGATTAGAATACTGGCCTTTAGGCATAGAACGCATTCTAGAAAGACTTGGCTCATACATTTCAGTTCATGCTGCTGTAATCCCTGGTGGTTTTCTTTAAATCAGATTATTTATATAAATTAAAGTTAGTGAGACAGGGAAAAAAAAGTCATCAAACTCCCCCAAACCTCACAGATACTTCTCAGAGACGGACAAGAACAAGGCTTTTCCCAATGTCTGGTCGCCGGTTAATACTGGACAGCCAACGGGAAGCCCTCTGTGTTTATTCTCCACCCTGCCCACACCCTTCACATTCTGCAGCCGGCCAGGAGATGACATTCCTCATGTCTGTGGGCTCCTTCACGTTTCCCCCTAACCTCTGAAACCCCCCCCCCCAACAATTCTGTTGTCGCCTCATTTGTCAGAGCTGGAAATGAAGGCACAGAAGCTGGGGAGCCAGGGTTCAACAGCAGTTTGCAGACATTCCCCATCCCCTGATCCTCTGGATCTTACTGGTTTAAACTGGGATCCGTGGCCAACAGGGTCCCGTGTATGCCTCCACACACACCTGTCCAGAAACAAACATCTCATAGTGCACAATTACTCCACCCTGTGCCGTGATATTTTCTATTCTATTTATTCTAGTCTAGTTCATATAAAAGACAAAATGATCATGAGCCACAAAAGTGATTTCATGAGCCACTGGTCGCGCCTGCCCTTTGAAAACGCTGGGCCCGGCTGCCCTGCCTGGGTGGACTGGGGCCTGCTGCCTATTAATACCCTGGGGAAGGGGAACCTTTGTCGTAGCCACCCTAGAAGGCAAGTAGGGCCAGGAAGGAAACTGAAGCCAGGGGAATTCTGGCCTCATCTTATCCTACTCAGTAGAAGCATCAGAACTCAGCACCAGCAAGCTCTGCAATTCTTTTTCTTGATGTATGTTTGTAACAAAATGATGTCTGGCCAGATACTTCAGTCATTGCCTTTCTATCTGCCCTACCTAGAAAGGGCTCCCAAAATATAGCCAAAGAAAATAAAGTCAGAAGTCAAGTCAAGCCAGCCAGCGGGCATCTTCTCCCGAGGATCTTGGCACGGCCAGGCAGTTCTCAAAGACTGGTTTGTTAAGGTTGCTTTGCCAGAGAAATTCAAGTGACACTGAGCACAAAAAGAAAAGCAGTGCAGAAACCAGGATTTGCTGTGCGTCGTGGGCTGAGGGAGGGCCAGGGGACTCAACCGTGGCCACAGCCCAGCCTCGCATTTCCAGGGTCTCGCCTGTCGCCCACTTCCCTAAAGGGGCAGGGGCCACAGTTGATGGTGCTACTAGTGAAGCAGAAGAGAAAGTGGAGTCCTGCTTGAGTGGCAGGTCCAGAGACCAGGCCAGCATCTTCTGGGGAGCAGCAGCTTCCTGACCTCCTCTCAGCTCCTCCCTTGGGTGATGGTGAAGGTCCCATCTTCCTTGAACCTCCCAGGGGCAGTTCAGAAATAGGGGTTAAGGATCAAGTGGGTTCCCAAGGGCAGTGATGGGTCTGGACTGGATACCTGCAGCCCCTTTCGGTGAACTAGGGTGGAGCTAAGAAGCCACCCCTGTAGCCTGGAACAGAACCGGTGGTGGACACCTGACTTCCTTTGTACCCCTCCCACTTTGCCGAAGAGAGTCCCAGGATGAACCTGGCTTCCGGAAATAGTTTATCAGAGAGCATCTGCAAATGTAGATTTCGATTTTCTTTTCTTTTCTGGATGGAATTTCTTAACAACCAGAGCCCTGTCTCTTTTGGCACCAAGGAAATGTTTTCAACCAAAGAGCAATTTTGCCGCAAATTTCCCGTTTACAACAGGGGTTGGAAGTGCACTAACAGCCAGAATCGCTGTCATGATCAAACAGATTCTTTTTGTATGTTTAATAGATTCCTTTTGTTTGTACGAAAACAAAAAAGCCAGGTGCTTTTTAAACAGCCCACTCTATTTTTTTTTTATTCCCCTGAGCTTTTAATGAGTTTAAAAGGTTAAGCAGAGCTGATGTGTGTCTCTTTAAGGCCCCTTTCTGATGACGTGTGTGTGTGTGTGTGTGTGTGTGTGTGTGTGTGTGTGTGTGTGTGTGTGTGTGTAAGAGAAAAGAGGGAAGGTTTGCTGTTACTAGTAAAGAAATACAATTGGATCCCAGCCTAATGCAGTTCGCCTTTGTTCCTGCACACTGAAGTCTTCATTAAAACCCAAGGCACTTCTCCCCGGAGCTGGTGACCTTTTTGTATTTAAAGGCGACTTTACAGGACTTAAATTCTTCTTCCTTTGTGGGCGAACAATGTTCTTTTCTTCTGAAAATGCATGATGATCGGTTCATTCAGAGGCTACAGGATTCAAAGAAGAAAAGAAGGACCTGAGATTGAGTGATTTCAGGTGACTCCACCTTTGAGACCAGGAAAGATGCTTCCCAAATAAGGGTCTGGAGAAGAAGGGAGTGTGGGAGACACGGGAAAACAGCAGTCTAGCTCCCGCTGAGTACAGATTTTAGGACAGGGGTGTTTCCTAGTTTGTGCCCCCCAAAAGATTTAAGTGAGTGTTGAACTTTATGCTGTTCATTTTTAAGTGTCTTGGCCCCTGGTTGCCTTAAGTGTCTGAAGCTGTTTAAGGGGTTGGGTTTCTCCCTAACGTAATGGAGGCCTGCCCTGCAGACAATGCTTTCAAAAGGCCTAAAGTCTCCTGACTATCGGCTTACTACCCCAGATGCTCTCACTCAGACGGGCCACCCCGGGGTGATGTGCCTGCCAGCCACGGGGTGAGGCACAGCCAAGCTTGCTACTGAATGGGGCGCAAAGGTTTAGAACTTCTAACTTGAGGATGACCAGAAACGAATTTGGTACACTCGTCTTCTGATCTTATTGCTGTGTTGAACACATGCATTTATTTCTTTTCCCAATTCTACCACGCTAGCCAACTGGAGGTTAAATCAAACCCACATTGAAAACTGTACCATCAGAGAAAGGGCACCCACGTTAATAAATCCGGTTGTCTGTTCCTCCCCTTGATCCCCACACTGAAATCTTCTGTCTGCCAGCAAACGTTTTTACAGCCCTTTTTATTTATAAGCCTCGTTTGTGAACTTCAGTGCATGGAGGTGGGCACTTTAAATAACCATACCTATCAGAACTGAAACTTAGCCTGACCCTTATCTCCTCTCTCAGTGTGTGTCTGCTGCGAACGCCTTTATGACCCTCTGAAGATGATATTAGGGCTTTTATTTGGCAGGCGCACAAAGGAAGTGAGCGCCATGTGTAATATATGTTGGCGTAGTAAAACAACCATGGTGGACAAATTGCCTGCTGCTTTTAAAGAAAATATAGCTTCAACCAGTTAATGTTTTATTAAGTCATTCTCCTTGTTCAACAAATCTTGATGAAATTTCTTATGAAATATATATCCAGCGTGTCATAACAAAGAAAATTGCTCTTTTATTTTCTTCTAATATTGCTAAATAAACATGAGAGATTGCCCAATATCCCCTTTAATTGACAGTATGGATTTAATAGAGACCCTTATTTTAGTGAACAATGGTCTGGAGATAGTCAAGCCTCCCAAGGGCCTTCTGCTGAGGCTGGCATTTGGAACACAAGGTAGAGCAGGTGTTTATGTTCTGCATGGCCTGTGAAGGGTCTCTCACTGGTCCTCAGGTGTGTCCATGTGAAGGAGCCTCCTAAAGGAGAAGGTGTGGCTGAGACAGGCGGGAGGACCTGGTCAGGAGACAGGGCATTGGACCAGACTGTGCATTTTCATGACTGTTCTCTACATCACAAAAGCGCCATTCTACTGTGCTAATCATGAACATTTTGTCATGAACCAGGTTGCTCAGGACAGGGCATCGTGAGTCTAGGAGGCCATGCCTGAGTCTAGACCTGACATTGGCTGTGTGGGATTTTGCTGTATGAGAGGAGCCTGATGGTAACATCAGCTATCCTGGACAGGAAAATGGCCTGTCTTTAGTATAGACAACGAGGCCATCTCTCGCTTCTCTCATGGCTGATTCCTTGACCATGTTTACTGCTGGAGCTCCTCATACATTCATCCTTAGAGCCACTCAGTTGGGGTCCCTGAGTGACATAGCGGCCATGGCGTTGAGCCTTTGTGGTGCGTGAGGAGAGCATCAGAGAGAGGAAGGATGGTAGATGGCGGCATGCCCTCTGGGCCTCGTGTAAGCAGGAGCGGAGTCAGCTGTTCTCCTGGAGTCTCTGAGCTGATCGTGACTCGTGTGTGTGCATGCGTGTGTGTGTGTTAGAGTGCATGGGGGTGTATGTGCGCGCACTCACACGTGCACGAGAGGGCGTATGTGCGTATGTATGTCTGTCTCTGTGTGTGTTTTAAATCTGAAGCCAGTGGAATGACGTTTATTCTGGATAAATTTCCTCCATATGTAGGCAGCTACTTAGTCTCTTAAATTCTGTAATTTTAAGCATAACCTTAGATAAGCCTTGTGTGTTCAGTTCAATTCAGTAGCAGTTTTCAAATTTCTTAAGGTAGCCCAATCAACTTTGCACAAATAAAATACAATGATAGTGTCATTCATTTAGCTTGGGGATTTTGCTGAGGGGTACATATTTGGGAGTGGTACCCCACTGAACTTCTACATCCACATTTTTCTGTCGCCAGTCTAAAATTTAGAGGTGGGTGACATTATCAGTCTTTGGAGAAAAGTCCCCCTCTTCCTTCTCTTCCTCCTCTGTCTTATAAGCGTTAAAGTCCCTGCCTCAAGGCTGGGTGACTTCCCACATTTATAGCCCGGGCGCAGTTTTCCAGGACCTGTGGAAGAACCGTGGCTTCTCGATTTCTATATCTATGCCTTTCACTGAGAACAGCCAATTGGCCTCTTCTCCTCTACGCATGTCTAGGTTATGAGATTGATAGGCTCTTCTAGAAAATCCGCACAGCCTTCCTAAGCCTACCGAGAAGGTGCTCCCTTGAAATCTAGAAGGCAGCCTGTGTGATTCAAGAGCAGTTTCCCTGTGGGCTCCTCCTGAAACAGGAGGATGGAAGAAGTGTTGCCACCCTTGCCTCACAATGGGTTTCAGGTGACCTTGCCCTCGAAGGTAATGAGGTTGCACTGAGACAGGTAACCCTGATGCCCAGGCAAGGTGGTGTGGGGACGGGCTGATGCAACCTCGGGGGCCATTCCCATCCGGTGTCACTGGCCCCATTAGCTGGTATCCTCTTTGAACAAAGAATAGAACGCGTCCCGACAGGTATTCAAAGAGATTCCGATCCCAGAAGACGCTTTATCAAAGGACAAAACACTGAACAGTTTTCACCTCAAGCACAAACTTCAGCTAATCATGCTAATTCTTGTATTCCAGAATCCTAATCAGGATTGGCAAGTCATTTTTATAGTTCAGTTGATGTCATGTTACTCAAATAAATATATCTGTGTTTACTTCCCGGAAAGCTTTCAACAACAGGAACTCCCCTTTTCCTTCATTCCCTCCTTAAAATGGCACCCCGCCATGGTTTCTTTTGCTAGTGTTCAGAGATCCAAGAAGACATTTTGGGTCACATTTTGTAGGAGGGGAAATTATAATAGAGTTGACCTCTGGTAAACAAGTGTGTGAAACCTTAGAACTGATGATTGTAGTGAGCTTTGGTGCGTTCGTTCACCTGTCTTTTCTGCTCTGAAAGTCAGATGCCATTCACTCTTCTGGGCTTTTAGGAACCTGTTCTGTTCACTGGAACAATGCGGAAGAACCTGGACCCCTTCAATGAGCACACTGATGAGGAGCTGTGGAACGCCTTAGAAGAGGTAAGCGACCTTCTTCATCACATATGTGATGTGTATGTGTGTGTGTTCAGAGCAAGCCTTTCATGGGAGCTGGTGGGACACCTCGGGGAGCATTCATGAGCTGGGTGGGTGTAGAGTATGTATTGATGATGGCAATCCAAAATAATGTACCTCGTGTTGCTCCAAAACCTGGCTCAGTCAATACATGATCTTACTTGTCCTTCACAGAGCTCAAACTCCCCTAGTGACTAAGTAGCCTGAGCCACTATTGTGAGAAGTCTCCCCGGGGCAGACGCATAAAAAATATCTACCCACTCGGTATTCATATGGTCCCAAGACTAAAACAGAGTTCATTTCCACCGAAGATCCCCCTGGGGAACCAGTGGGTTTATTAGGTCACTTACAGAGCATGGATGAGAATGTGGCAGGCAGAAGTATGGGTGACCCCGCAGCAGCCACTAACATCTGGAACATCTGTCTCTAACGTGGGGTGGTGGCTTCCCTGTGGCTTTGTCGAGCGAGTCCCCCTTCCACGAACCTTCCTCTGTCTACTCTAGCTCCTCCCCGAGACCCCCAAGTCCATGTGCAGGGCCGAGGCCGTTCAGGGCAGAATTGCGTACAGGTGAACAGAAGGTGTGACTCTGACGGTCTAGTGGCCCTCGCTGTCCGCGCCTCCTGCGGGAGAATGTCAGCGGTCCCGTAAGTACGCACAGCTGAGACGGGCAGTTCCGCTCAGAAGGCGCAGACTGCCACAGCCGTTCACCCCACTGCTCCGTTTAGGGGAGCATCTAGGAAAATGAGGCACTTGTTTTCATTACTAACAGAACAAAAAGTGAGATCATACTTACACGGTGCTTCGGAGCCTCCTAAGGAGGTGTTTGTGAGGGCAAATTACACAGACTACGGGAGTGATGCTTACTGACAACCCTGTCATTGTGACGCCACAGGGAGTCCAGCTCGCAGACTCCTGGAGCCTTGGCTACGTTTCTGTATTGATACCTTTAATCTGGGAGGATTTTCTTATTATTTGTGTAGCGCGTCCCTGCAGACCGCTTCTTGGGGATTCCTTTCCCACACAGGCGACGATTTTGACCATTAAGTTGCTTCTGGTCTATATGTTTAGAGGTAATTATTTTGCAAGTTCCCTCTAGTTCTGCAAATTAATTGTAAGCTGCTTAATAATAGAAATCATATCTTAGACCACAATCCCTCCTAAGACCTAGCTCGGTTTTAATTTTAAAAAGTAAGCATTTAATCAATATGTGAGCATGGCTTATTTCTTAAAAAACAAAAACTAGAAAACAAAAAACCTCAGTGATCAGTTCCTCACTGTCGTCAGTGGTTAATGTTTTGAGGTAGCTCACTCGTCCCTGTCACCCTTTCAAGTACGCTCTGAAATCTTTAGCTTAAGATGGGTTCTGACTGAGGGCACACCAGTTTGGAGGTCTGGCAGCTTCCTGCCAGCAATTCCTGCTTCTGAAGACATGTCAGTGCCAAGTCATTACACACCCACCCTGCTTCCCAGCAGCTGCGGGGACTTTGTTTTCCCAGCTTGGGCCGGCTACCTTCTTCTCCAAGTCCAACCAGAATGGTGGCTGGTCTCCGGTTTCATCCATCTATGAGATTTTTCTCTAGGAAAATTCTAAGAAGATGTAGGGAAAGAACAGTTACACATTGGAGATCACAGAGGATGGAAAGACAGGACGAAGCAACAGCAAGCCTGTGACACACCCTGAGAAAACAGGAATTACTAGTAAATTATTTTTTCTCTTCGCTTCAGAGCTTAAATTTCTCTTCAGAGATTCTCAGATAGTAAAATCACTGTAGAAATACATCGTTCCATGAGCGGTGAAGAAATGCTAATTGAGACCCAGTCCCGTCCAAAGGCATCTTCAAACTTGGGTGCCTGACACCTATTTTCGTCTGTTATAGACAGAATGAAACTTTTGTAGCTTCTCGCATACGACAAAAGAGGTGGCAGAAGCGTCGGACCGTCCTGAGGGTTGCCTGTGCTCATGCTCCACCTGAGGCTGCTGTAAACAGAAATGAGAAAAGACACAGACAGACCAGAGTTCAAGCATGGTGGGGGTCTGCACCCTGCTTCTGAGCTTCCTTGTGTATCAGGAGAGAAGTATGGCATTACCCCGTCATGGGTTTTCTTTAGCAACGTTTTGCCTTGCTAAAATTTTTAAAAATCAGAGTAGGATATTTTCTAAACATTAGAATCAATATTGTATTTATGATATAGTTTCAGCTGCCTGTGGGGGGGTACACTGGAAGCGAGTGTGTGTGTGTGTGTCTGTGGAGGTACACTGGAAGCGTGTGTGTGTGTGTGTGTGTGCGCGCGCACACATGTGTGTGTGTGTCTGGGGAGGTACACTGGAAGCAACCAGGCAGGTTCCCTGGATTGCCGTATTCCATTCTCTCTGTGGCGTCGTCTTTGCAGTGTTTCTAAACCAGAGCAAATTCTGCCTCCGTGAATGGTAGGAAAGCTGATGGCCTTGGCTGTTCTTGTTAGGCTAAAACCTGACTGAGAGTCTATGGACTTAAGGATAACCTGTGTAAGAAAGAGAGAGACAGAGAGATAGAGAGAGACGGGGAGGGGGGGGGGGGGGGGGGGGGGGGGGGGGGGGGGGGGGGGGGGGGGGGGTAGGGAGGAGGAGGAACCAACGAACACCTGACCCTTTTGTCAATGATGTGAATGCCGATGGGAGCCCAAGCCCATGGAGTTCACGTGAGGATCTTTCAGAGAGCATTGTCATCTCTAACGACCTCAAGTAGAAAGAACTGTGTTTTTAAAGCCCTCCTATTTCTTACTAATACCAGAGGGGGAAAAAAACAAATTTGTCTTTCAGAAGAGAGACTATCTTATGAATATTGTTCATTTTGTTTTTTTTAACTTTCTGGATGTACTGAAAGTTCCCTCTGAATATAAGCTAATAACAGAAGAAATGTTGCTGCTATTAGTATCTACTGGAGCATCCAGGAAGCAGCAGCAGCTCAACAAGAAGACAGAGGTGGTCGGTAGCGATGGAACCTGCCAATTGCTCACAGCAGTTAAAACCAGCAGCGCATCAGCCCTGCGTTATTTCCGTTGTAAATAGCATGGACCCCGGGACAGACCGTGAAGAATAGGCTGGGTCTGCAGGTGTGAGACCCATTTAGTCAGGGTCCTCATGGACGGTGTCTGTTAGGATGCCGTGCATCTCCCTGCTGCGTGAATTCTAATTGTCCTTAAAAATAAAAACCCGGAGTCAGATATTAGTGGGGGAAACTAAGAGATCAGAGAAGCAGAGTGACCATCCACTAGAGAGACCTTTTACCTCTACCAGTGCTCAGACCGGAGGGGCAGTCCTGTCTCTGATTCCTCAGAGTGCGTCTTCAGACTGCACTGAGCTCCTGTCTCCTCCTGCCTCATAATCCTCTCTCCACCCAGCCCTATCACTTCCTGTCTCCACCTCCCTAGTGCTGGGATTCAAGCTGTGAGCTGCCACCACTTGTCTCTGTTTCTCTTTTAGACTAATTCAATCTAGTGTAGCCCAGGGTGGCCTTGAACTTACAGAGATCAGTCCGTCTCTGTCTCCCAAGTTCTGAGATTAAAAGTGTGCGCCACCACTGCCTGGCCTCTGTGGCTAACTAGTGGCTTAGCTCTGCGCTCTGATTCTCAAGCAAGCTTTATTTGTCAGAACACGAACAAAATATCGCTACAGGAGACCATGGCAAAGGCACGTGAGCACCCATCAGGAAGTGTGTGACTTAGCACTTTTCCACGCACGCATGGCCTCATCTGTGGATTTCCTGGACTGGGCTCTGTTGTGGCTTCATTCAGTGATCGCATCTCGGGCTCTCTTTCCCAGCACAGCAGCCTTTCTTGATGTAACGTCAGTAAGTCTGTCTGCTGCTTTTCTGTTGCTGTGACCGGACACCCAGATGAGAGCATCTTAGGGAAGAGAGGGCTCGCTCTGGCTTATTGTTCCAGAGGGATAAAATCTGTCGTGGCATGGGAGACATGGAACAGACAGCAGGAAGCTGGCCCCTCACATTTCCGTCCACACACAGGAAGTGGAAAGAAAGGTAACAGGAATTGGAGGAGGCTATACGCCCTCAAAGCCCACCCCAGTGACCTCCTCCACCAAGACTACACCTCCTAAAGGTGTCATGGCCTCCCTAGACAGCAACACTGACTGGGGACCACTCAGACACGTGAGCCTAAAAGGGGCATTTCTCATTCAGATTGCCATAGCAAGCTTCAAAGAGAGGGAAGCAGAGGCAAACACCCTTGTCAATCTGCAAAGGATTCTGGGATGTCTTCCATGCAATACGCATAGTAGGGAAAGTGTTTGTAATGATAACGTCAGAGAATTTATGAGCACTATCAATTTTGTGTACTTCATTGTTTTTCCAAACTTATATAATATGAACTATTTTGTACTTAAATAAACAGTTTAGAATACTATAATTGGATCGACTTTCCTGAAATTATAGTTTTAAGGTGCTTTCCATATTTTAAGTGTGACTATTATGATATCCTGGGACCAATGAACGTTTATAAGCCATATGTTTCTTTTGCAATGCCATTTAATGTGATTGCATTCTATATAAAGTATATATATATATTCATATGAATTTATTCTCTAACTTGTAGACACAGATATGGACGAGACATTCTTCTGACTCGCCATGTGTTCGGACAGTTCTTTATTGAGAGCGTGCTATGTAGGCATCGTAGATTCTTAAGCTATTACAGTAATCATCAAGACAGGCAGAACACTCCCACTTGGAGCTGGAATTCTTGTGGAGAAGTTGGGACATCAGTAAATGGTTATGCATTCAAAATGCAGACTAGTCGGTGCAATAAACCTCAGAACATGAAGAGAGCCGGGTGACGGCATTGTTAGTAATGGGTAACGCCGATTGATCTCTTTGTAGCAGGCGCTGCTGTAAACACTTACTTGCAGTGACTCATTTTCTATCCCAGCAGGCAGTGTTTGGAGATAGACATCTGGGTTATGATAACATTGTGTTTCGTTTGCAGGTAAGAAAGCTGAGACAGGGAACAGTCAGGAATTCGTCATTGGCAGAGCCAGGTGGAACTTAAGCTCAGGCTTTTACTTTTTTTCCTGGTTTTTCAAGACAGGGTTTTTATGTGGCTTTGGAGCCTGTTCTCACACACACTCTGTAGACCAGGCTGGCCTCGAACTCACAGAGATCCGCCTGCCTCTGCCTCCTGAGTGCTGGGACTTATGGTGTGCACCACCACCACCCAGCTAGGTTTACGTTTTTCAGTTTACAAATTTAAAATCTGGGCTAGGGATATAGCTCGGTTGACAAAGGACTTGCCTTACAAGCCTGGGGATCTCAGTTCGAGCCCCAGAGCCCACTCATCAATCTGTTGCTCTCTGAATGAAGTGTATGGGTGGACCCTTTGTTCTGAAACTCTCAAGGATAGTCCAAGTTTGGCCTTCGTTCTGTAAAATTTCTCCAGGAGCAAATATTCATAGGACTGAACCACAACCCAGTGATGTAGTCTGATGTCCTATTATTCAACTTATCATTCAAGTTTTCAAAGCTAGATTACTAGAAGTATATCATAGACAGGCAATAAGGTATTGCATTGTCCTTTCTGTGGGTTGTCATTCACTGTGGAACATCGCTGTGGTTAAAGTAGATGCATGTGATAGCTTCAGTGATGGGAGACTGAACTTAGGAAGGGACGTGCTCCGGGGGTCCTGACACTAAATAAGTAGTTCCCAATTGTTTGAGCTTTTGAAGGCTTTTGTGGTTGATCAAACCTTCCAGGACGGCAGCAGGGTACCTACGACATTCTTTCTTCAGAGGGCTGTGCGGAATTCCTACTTAGCTCCTGTGCAGAATGTCTCTTGGGGGACTTGACTGTAGTGATCCTGTTTTTCATTTTTCTATTGGACATCTTCCATGTGGAAAGAGCTTCATTTCTGAGAGACTTCCATGATTTCTGGAGAAAGGTTCTGAGTGGGTGTCATGTGACTGGAAGGAAGTTAGGGTGATGGGGTGGGTGGCTCTGAAATGCACCAGTTTCATGGACGTATGACTTCTTTAACAGCAAGTGGTCCCTGAAGCAGTGTGGTTCAGTGATTTTGATAAATTCGTAGAGGTTTGGGTCATCGGAGTGATGAGGGGTTTAGAGTGTTCTGTCAGCTTGGTGTAGCCAATCTCCCAAGCACTGTGCAATCGCTACTCTGTCCTGGTTTTCGTCTCTCTACACTCCTGTAGGTTTCTCTTAACTAACCAATAAAAAGGGACATCCTTGGGCTTGTAGAGCTTGTAGAGCTGGTTCATCAGTTAAGAACATTTGTTGCTGTTGTAGAGAACCCACGTTCTTTTCCACAACAGGGGCTCACAATCACCTGTAACTACAGCTCCAGGGGATCCGAAGCCCTCTTTAGGCCTCTCCGGGAACCTTCATTTACATGCATGTAACTGTACACACACATACACAGACACACACACATACAATTTGAAAGTAAAATTAAATCATTGTGAAGGTATATTCTCTGTCTTGCTATATTTTACCAATGAAGTATTTACAGGCACAACCGGCGCTAACTCATGACCCAGAACCAGCAGGCAACGCTCATCAGTGGTGAATGTCATCATTGTGAGAGTTCTGGGAAGAAGTACGGCAGAGTTCTGGAGTTGAAGGGATTTGTTTAATAGTTTATTTATGAACATACCATTCTGTCTGCATCTATAGGTACAGCTTAAAGAGGCCATTGAAGACCTCCCTGGCAAAATGGATACTGAATTAGCAGAATCCGGATCAAATTTTAGTGTTGGACAGAGACAATTAGTGTGCCTCGCGAGGGCGATTCTAAAGAAAAATCGGATATTGATCATCGATGAAGCAACAGCAAATGTGGATCCGAGGTACAGAGCTAAAGTGGTCGTGGTGGGTCGAACCTGAATTCTCACTCTGGCCCCAGGGAAGGATTTGATGGTACTGAGGAATGTGTCTGGGTGTGTCTGCCCTTCAGATGTGTGACAAGCTGCGGAGTCCTGCACAGAATTACTTAAGCAGTTACAAAATCGTCTTCTGCCTGTGTGTATCCCATTACGTGCTCGCAAATATGCCAGAGTTCAGAATCTAAGGCCCCTTTGACTCCAAGCATTGCAGAAAGGGAATGCTCAGCCTGTATTCTAGGCCTTCTGAGTAAATTAGATTCCCAAATTCCAGTTCTGTGTCAAACATTGGAGAGAGAATCATTTGCATTCTTTCTAAGTTGACTTTTTAGATTTTAGGGTTTTTTGGGGGGGGGGAGGGGAGGAGGTGTGGCTTTGCATGCCTGTAATCCTAGCATGTGGAAGCTTCATGTAGGCTCTGGGTTTCAAAGTCACCTGAATGACATAGTGAGTTCAAAGCTAGCCTGAGCTGTCTAATAATAACATTAACAACAACAACAACAATAAGCAGATTTTAAAAACAGTCTTAAGAGTAATGTGATCTTTTAAGTCTTTCCCCATCTTTGCTGAATTAAATGTGACGTCTGTGGTTCCAGAACTGATGAGCTAATACAACAGAAGATCCGGGAGAAGTTCGCCCAGTGCACTGTGCTTACCATTGCTCATAGATTGAACACTATCATAGACAGTGACAAGATAATGGTGAGTCCTCCCCCCAGTGGCAGCCATGTGTGCTCCCTCTTCCTGTTCATCCTCCCTTGCACAGGCTGAGAGCTAACCAGTCAATCAGTCACGTACTAGTCATACCTCAAGTGTTTCGGTGTGCACTCACTCGGTGCTACAGACAGTCTACCTTTGTGTACTCCTTCATATACTTCTATTTTAAGTATGCTTAAGTAGATTTTCAGGACCATTTAAATATGAATGGAAATGTCCCAAACCTAGGCAGTGAGTTACGATATTGTTTCAGACTCCAGAATAGGAGGGCAGTTTGTGTGCATGTCACCTTGTTTTGGCTTCTCATGACCAAACGCTAATCTCTCTGGGGCTGAAGGAATGACTCCATAGTTATGAGCACTGTACTGGCTAGTGTTTGTCACAGAATACTCTAACCTTGGTACATCGGCACCCGTATGTAAAGAAATAGGTAGATTGAAGTTCTGTCCCACCTAGTTCCACAGCCGTTCAGTCCCAAAGAAACACAGAGGCTTATGTTAATTATAAACTGTTTGACCCATTAGCTCAGGCTTATTACTGACTAGCTCTTACAGCTTACATTAACCCATAGTTCTTGTCTGTGTTAGCCATGTGGCTTGGTACCTTTTCTCAGTGAGGCGTTCTCATCTTCCTTCCTCTGCATCTGGCTGGTGACTGCATCTGCCTTTCCTCTTCCCAGAATTCTCCTAGTCTGGTCATCCCACCTGTACTTCCTGGCTGACTACTGGCCAATCAGCGTTTTGTTAAACCAATCTGAGTGACAAATCTTTACAGTGTGCAAGCACATTTTCCCACAGCAGTCATAGGAAGGCTGAGAGTGAGAAAGAAATCACTTGTGTGGTTATTTGGGAAGGGCTGCGCTAGTTTGCTTCCTATTGCTCTAATAAACACGACGACCAGAAGCAACGTGGGAATAAAGGGTTTATTTACATCTTACAACCTGCGCAGAAAACTGAGGCAAAAACTTGTGGGGGGGGGGCGTCGTCTTTTCTGCTCAGAAAGTTTTGTATATGGCCCATGAGCACAGGCAGAGGGAGCCCTCTAGGAGACAGACTTTGGTAAATCAGTTCAACTTTATTCCAGATTATAAGGAATATATAGGATTGAGGAACCAGGGGACAAACCCTAATTTGTACTAAGTGGCTTGCTGCTATCACAAGGCTTAGTATGTGGTAGTCAGGTCCAATCTCAGAGCCCCTAGCACCAGTCTTCCCAGCAGGGGTCTGTTGACAGCTAAAGATGAATCAGGCATCTTGTTTAGAGACAGATCTTGGATAAGGGCAGTCCTCCAGGCCCAGGGACATCCTCCAGACAAGAGCAGGTAGAGAACAGGAAGTCTTGCTGGGGAGGGAGGGCATTTCCCTATCGCCAAGCTTAGAAAAAGCTGCCAGGCTATGGCAAACTGCGACCTCTCACCAGCCAACATATTCCGACAGACACTGAAGCAGAGGCTGTAGAAGAAGGGCTCCTGCTGGCTTGTTCCCCATGGCTTCCTTGGCCTGCTTTCTTACACACCCAGAACCACCTGCTTGGCCAGTAGATGCTGGGCATGTGGATGTGTTCTGTTCCATGGGAATCACCTGCCATCAGCAGGGAAGGACAGATCTCGCAGAAATGTCAACCGGTCACTGCTAAATCTTTCAATCACTATTTGACCCACAGTTGTGAACATCTCGTTCGCGAGTTGCCCCTTCGCCGCTCACCTCTGTTGTCACTGGCCACAGGGTTTAGTGTTTTGCTCAATAGTGTCTCCTGCTAAATCTTCACAGTCAGAGTTTTTGTCTCTCATTATCTATGTCTAAATCCTTAGCGTGGTTTGACAAAGCAGGTTATATAATCTGGCCTGCCCTTCCCCTTCCTAGCCTCACCCCACTGCATGATCCTCTCTCTGCTATGGGTGAAGCCACGGTGGTGTTTGCTTTGTCCTTTGTGTGTGTGTGTGTGTCTGTCTGTCTGTCTGTCTGTCTGCTATCTTTCTGGCAATTGTGTGCTTTTCCTCTCCTGAACGTTGGCGGCATAGACTGAGACGCTAGCAATGAAAAGCACAGGGAATGGGTTTGGGAGAAATTGCAAGGGGTGTGACTAGATGTGACAGATAAAGTATGAGAAGAGAGAGGAGTCCGACCACCTTGGTTTTCAAGGTGAACACTGAGATGCATGAATGAGACCTGGGGAGAAGACTTGGAAGAGGGTTCTTTGAGCACGTGACCTCGCCTGTCCCTGTGGCACTGCCCCTTCTACTCAGAACTCTAATGTGGGGAAGTCTTCAGTGTAGAGTTCGCTGGCCACAGGCTCAAAAGCAGTATCAGAGGAGATCCACCAGGATTTGCAAGTGTGGTCAGTTGAGCAGCTTTCTGTAAGGATGACACAGGCTCCCAACTCAGGGGACCCAAAAGATGTGCAGCCTCTACTTTCAGAGATGGGGGTCTTGGCTTCTGCTCTGTTCACCCAGGTTGTTGTATTCTAGAACTTCTGTTCACACCTCAACTTTCAGTTCAGTCAAACACCAGTGGGTCTGCCAGCTCTGTCGCTCTGACAAAATACTGAAGATCATCAGATTTTTTTTTAAATGAAAGATTTGATTTGGCTGCAGATTTGTAAGATCCCGTCTGATCGTCTGGTTCTGTGAAGCACTGCATCGTAGGGGGATGTGCAGCCAAGCAGAGCTCTCTGCCCATGGCCAGGGTGCAGAAGAGCAAGGGAGGAGCCAAGATCCCCCACTCCCCTCCAGGGGCACACCCCCAATGTCCTAACCTTCCCTGATAGTGCCCACCTCCAAAAGGTTCTACTGAACCCAATTAACACCATCCTGGTCAAAGTTTGAAGCTGTTTTGTCCTAAAAGTACCTGCTCCTTTTCTAGAAAACATGCTTTCTGTTTTCTTGCTCTAACGCCTTAAAGACGCACACAGGTGTCTTAGTTACTGCTTTGTTGTTGTGTAGATACACCGTGACTGAGACAGTTTTAGAGGCTAGTCCACGCTCATCTTGATGCTGGAGCCATAGCTGAGACCTTTACATCCTGGTATGCAGGCAGAGGGGGACGACACTGGGCTTGGTGTGGACCTTTGAAACCTCAAAGGCCTCCCCCCACCCCCAGTAACACACGTCTTCCAACAAGGCCACACCTCCTAATCCTTCCCAAATAGTTCCACTAACAAGGACCCAGCATTCAAACATAGGAGCCAATGGGGGGCCATTCTCATTCAAACTATCACATCATGTCAACCACCTGCACAGCCCCATGCACCAGAGAGCAGGATCCAGGCTCAGGGAGTGGCCACGGAAGTGATGCTGCCGAAGGCCAGAAGCAGTAGCGTGTCCCCGTGAAGTTAAGCGATTACAAGTGATTAACATGTAATAATTATGTTTCATTGCTCCGGTGAATATGCCACAAAGGCGGATGGGTATGGCTGTGTTTACTGTAAGTGATTCCAACAAAAGGCTTGTTGGGAAACGACTGTGACCTAATTAATGGCTTTGTTTATGTATTGGCTCTCCAGAGGGATTCTTAACCAGTTTTGGTTCATTAAGCACCGTTAATGTGTTAGGCTTAGAATCCTATTCTATGAAGATGTTCTTCCCACTCTAACTTTATTAAGCCCGTTGTAGTCTTTATGACAGCTAATTTGATCACACTCATTTGCTCAGTTTCCACAAAACAACGGAGCAGGGCAGACAATTAGCCTCCTTCTCCCGAGGCTCAGCACTATCTCCACATTAAAAGCAGCTTCCTCCCTCTCGTGGGTTTTTCTTTTTTTTTTTTTTTTTAGGATTAACTGGGTACCTGACATCTGCCTTCCCTTCCACCAATAGCAGTGTTCCCTTCCGGTCCCTGCACACCTCTGTCCTCACAGCTCTGTGGGTTCTCCTGATAGCAAGAGAGAGAGAGAAAGAAAGATGTTTGGAAAGGGCCACAGCTATCACCCCTGCCTATGTGAGCCACCCCCTCTGGCAGCAATCAGGCAATTCTTGGGGAATTAAATGGTAGAGAACCACAGGCTCAGAGACTTGGGCTGTGGCTCCTTGTTGACAGGCCACACTGTGGTCTTATAATCTTTACCTTTCTTCTGAGTTGTTTTCCCAGAGAAGATAAGGCCAGTGGCTGTAGTAACACACCCCACTAGGAAAGCAGACCACGGGCGACTAACTGGACTTTTATTCAGCTCTGTTTTTGAACCTTTGTGGAACATTTTTGATAAGCCTACTTGGTCAAAATTAGGTCGTTGAAGAAGAAAAGAAAGAAAACAAAAAAAGATGTTCCTTCAAAAATGTGCTTACAGTTTCGGGTCAAGTGTTCTAACTAACTTGGAAGCTCGGATTCCAGGAGAAGAAATGTGAGAAGGGGGGGAGGCGGTGAAGACCGAGGTTTACTTCCTTGTTGTGCAGAATAGAAAAGTCGTCATTTTGATTTACTGCCTTAGTCTTTTGCTTGGGAGAGACCTATATTTTATAATTGCAGTATAATTTTTCCTTTTGTTAATGTCGGAAGGCGTGGTTATGCCCTATGGATAAAGTGGATTAAATTATTTTGAAACGGGACCATCTCGTTTTCACATCTGGGACGACGACTGCCTGGACTGCAGAGATGTAGGTCTGATAACGCGGCTCCGATGAGCTTATGTAACCGCTTGGCTCATCCAGTCCTTAACCTGCGGGACGGCAGTGGGCATGTTGAAGTCGTTCCTGGAGAGACTGTCACATAAGTGTTAATGTGCGGTTTGGTTTACAGTTTACTTGGGCCCAGGAAGGGAAGGGTCTAAGCAGAGCATGCCAGGAGACTGTCCTTACAAAACACATTAAGAGAAATATGGAAATTGCACTTTTTTTCTGTTCAGGGAGAGCCATGTCGAGTGGCTTTCCGATTGTTTATTCTGGAAAATCTAGACCCTTGGTCACATTGTCCATATAGTGACTGAAGATACAAAGTCCTCTTCCTGGCTCCGCCGCCCCGTGTGCACCCCAACTTCCACTCCAGCAACTGCCTGTCTCTCCTTCTTTCTCCTCCCCGGTACTTAACAGAGTCCGTGCCTTGAGTCCTCATTCCCTTCCTTCTAAGCTCCGTCTTGCCCACAGCCGTCGGTTTGAAGCGTGTGGAACTCTTGAGTCCTTCTCTCCCGTCCTCTGATCCCACTGCCCTGCCTCATGGCTCTCAGAGATCTCTGCCTTCTTTCTCCTCCTGTCTTAGCACGCCACCCACCCCTGGATGTGACCCTGAGATTTCCGGTCCTCTGACTTTGGTTTTCAGTCCCTGCGCATTGAAAAGGGGGTCCTTGTGGGTAGTGCCAGCCCCTGGCAACACGACAGTGAGCTAGACACAAGCCTGCCCTGGGATGGGTGGCAGTGCGTCTCAACCCTGCTCATGTTGTGTGTCCAGATCTGCTTACTGGTCCAGCCCACTCCTCTGCTCTGTCCTTGAAAAGACTCTTCCTCAGAGCCTGATGCTGTCAGCTCCAGCTTCCATGTCGTGCTGGCTGTGTGTGTGTGTGTGTGTGTGTGTGTGTGTGTGTGTGTGTGTGGTGCTGTTGTTTTGTTTTGATACCTTTTGTGATGGTTGCTTATGGTTGCTTGAATGTTTTCTTTTTTTTTTTTTTTTTTTTTTTTTGCCTGTTTTGGTGACAGGCTCTGTGAAGGCTGGGTGGAGACCTGTCTTTTCCTCTTCCACAGTAACTAGCTTAATGACATGGATGCGGTAAGTGTGTGATCAAAACGTGCTGAGTAAATACACAGTAAATAAGGTCACCTGAATTGGCTCCCAGTATGTTTTGGCTGTACCTTACTCTTTCCTTATTAATCCTGAAAATTAAATTAGAACAAAAGTTGGTTTTCTTCACTGGGGACTGTATGCCAGGCACACAGTATATAGTGTAGAACCTGAATCTTCAGTAGGATAAAATTGCCGTGGAGAGTGGACAGGTGACATGTTTCTGCCTATAAGGATATATTTTTGAGTCAGTTAAAGTCATCATGTCCAAATGAAAAGGTATCTTAGAAATGTAATTGTTTTACTTTCTCTTTGCTGTTTTTTTTTCTCTTTATATCTGATAATAAATGTTTGTACTGGAAACTGAAGTGGGCTAGCCATCTCGTTCACCTCCAAGTCTCCTCTCCTCAGATGGTGCTGTCACAGAATGGGCGGGCAAAAGGGAGATGCTGGCCTATTTGTCCCGTTTGTTTGGGGAGTCAATGGTGATGATGTTAGAAGCCATGAGTCGTCGAGCCATGCCCCCTTTTATTTCACTTTTCAAGTATAGAGATTGAGACTCTAATATAGCTCAGTTGTCGGAGTTCTTATGTAGCACGTACCAAGCGCTGGGTGTGATCTCCCCGAACCATGCAAACCAACTGTGATGGCTCACACGTGTAACCTGAGCATCAGAGAGATAAGGATAGAAGGACATAGCAACTCAAAGTCCAAGGTGTGAGGCCCTACCTTGGTCTACAGAAGACCTGGTTTTTGTTGTTTTTATGTGGTTACTAATTTTGTGTGTGTGGTGTTTTGCCTGCGTGAATGTCTGTGTACCGCATGCTTTCCTGGTGCCTGTGGAGGACAGAAGAGGCAGTGGATCCACCACAGTTGAAGTTGTAGACAACTGTGAGCTGCCATGTGGGTGCCTGGGATTAAACGAGTCCACAGCAGCTTGTACTCCTGACCACCAAACCACCTCTCCAGGCCAGACTCTACCCTTTACAAACCAAGCAAAAACGTCCTGTGCAGAAATGGCCTTTGTCATAGGTCTCATTGACACATATCAGGGTGTGCCGTCCCCCGACTCTTCGTTCATCACTCTCTGTGTGTGTGTGTGTGTGTGTGTGTGTGTTTGTGACCCCATGTTAGTGCTGAGAACCAACGTGGATCCTCTGCAAGGGTTGTGTATGCTCCTGACCACTGAGTCAATGTCTTCAGACACAGTCGGACAGTTTTTACTTGGAGCTGTAGGACAGAATTGTGGGAATTGCTTATTTTGTTGATAGAGGTTGAGTTCAAGGCCCCTTTCATACAAAGCACACCCTCTACTATGGAGACATACATCCCTAGCCCTAGAACTTATGAACATTTGTGAGATAACACTTTGGAAATGTAAACTACAGTAGAGTCCTTAAGTACAGTTTCTATATGCATTATCCCAGGGCTAGCTATAGGGTAGCTCAGCCTGGGTTCAGCTTCTAATAACACACACATACACACACAAAGAGAGAAAGACACACACAGAGACAGACACACAAGACACACACATGGACAAATACACATGGGCACATACAGGGACACACACAGACACGGGCAGACTTACAAACACATGGATGGATATGGACACATGAACATCGTCCACACAGGGATATACATACACATAGTTAGAAATAAATCAGCATTTTTAAGTCATTAAATTTCTCAGCATACTAAATTAAACTTTATTAAGTTAATACTAAGAAGTCCCCGAATATTTTTTTTACCAACAGTCTTTCTGTTACTTCTGTTCCAAACCCTCCTGCCTTCTGAGAGTGTTTTCTGGCTGGCCCTTCACAAATGGGGGTCAGTTTTGGGATGGGCTGGTCTGCGTGACCTTCATGTGTGGTGTGGCAAGGAGTCGCCGTTTTACATTTCAGTACGTTCAGTAGGAAGTTGGAGAGGGACAAAAGAGCAGTCGTTATAATTACAGGCAGTCGGTGCAGTCCGAGAACTCAGTGTCTGCCTCTGAAGTGTGGTTGTGAGTTTGCTTTTTGCTTTTGCAGAACAGAGAGTTCATCATTTTGTGAAGTAATTTGACTCATTTACTTAGTCTTTAGCATAGGAGAGACCTGTGTTTGAACATTGTGATTTTCCCCCTTCGTTAACGTCAGGAGGAGTGGCCATACCCTGTAATGCAATGCTTAAGTAAAATTATACATTCGGGGCATCTAAATTGGCATGCCAAATTATAGGACATTTTAATTATTGTGTGGATGTGACAGATTCAATTATTCTTGAACTCTTTTTGAGAAAGCTGCCCTTAGCAGCAATTCACAGTAGTAAACAAAAGATTAATGGGAAAATACCCTTTAGGAGAGAGACTCAATAAATGTTTCCAATTAAATACCATGAGCCAAATGAACTGCAGCATCTAAACGTGGAAAACAACCGATGCCCTGCTTAGAGTTTCAGCATATTCTCTTACGATGGATTTATTCTAAATACAACCTAAATGAAGAACTAACTACCACTTAGCATCGGGGCTGTTTCCCTAGGTGCGTCATTTGGGCCAATTGTCTCCGACTCTCTCTTCTGTCTGAAACCATTAGCCAAAGCCACTAATAAGTAGAGATGCAAGGTGAAGCGCACCCCCCGCCACCTTTCCGTTTCCAGTGTAGATTAGTGAGCAAGGCAGACATGGAAAGGGAGAGAGAAGGAAGCCAGGAAAGAAAGGTCAGCAACAGCTACCTGGGCCCTGTACAGCTCCAACTGGGCTGCCGCCGTGGTCTGTGTGGGCGTGGGATCGCCGGAATTCTAGGCTCAGTCCCCGCATTGCTTCTGTAGGTGTGTCCAGAGAGAATTGGGGTTTCTGGAGATGTCTTCTGTGCGCAGCGGGGGTGCCGAAGCTACCTGTGCTCATCAGTCACACTGGCGATAACAGACCACAGCCAGCACTGTGACTTTAGGCGGCTTAACCTTGCCTGTGATCGCGTTTGGTGCATAGCCCACCTTGCCAGCATCTTAAATAAACTCTAGAAACCCATGCTTCTCCAGCAACCGCCCAGATTCTATCAAACCAGCTTGGCAACCTTTCAGGCCACTGTTGTTTGGCTTCCTTGACATTACCCACATTCTGAATAAACTGAGGTCAGCTTTCCTCGGTCCATAGATTTCCTAGCTCTGCATACATGTGTGTGTACCCCAAAGCTTAGAGTCTGAGGCTTTTAACAGCACTAATAAAGCCTTGGCAGACTCTACAGAGCAGCAGACAGCTGAGAGCCTGTAATAATAGTCTAGAACTTCCATTTTTCTAACTTTCCTGAGCATTATAATAATAAAAGGTCAGGTTAGGCCTTTGTTTGTTCCATAGCTCAGGGGAATCAAGCCTTTCAAGAACCTTCCAGGCCTACCACCCAAATAGACAGTCTGTATTCTCCTTGGCCTAGCCCCTTTCCGAAGTATTGTCTGCGTTATAATACGTTGCTGCAAGACATTGTGTCTCAGTGGGCTTCTTTCTGCTGATGCCAGGTTTTGGATTCGGGAAGACTGAAAGAATATGATGAGCCGTATGTTCTGCTACAGAATCCAGAGAGCCTCTTCTACAAGATGGTTCAGCAACTGGGCAAGGGGGAAGCCGCTGCCCTCACCGAAACAGCAAAACAGGTGAGTTCGCCCAGGAGTCTTAATTACGGTGTGTCTCACCAGCTCCCTCCTCGCCGTTCGGCACCAGGGGTCTGGTAAAGAGCACCGTGTGCCCTTTTCAATTATAAGCCTCTGGAGACGAAGCTCCGACACGTCCAGGGTTGAAGTCAGGTCTACCAGGACTTGGCAGGAGCGTCAGGGAGGGGAGGGTGTGCACGCACACGCATGTGCAAGCAGGCGTGCCTAAGAGGCAGTGAACCTAACTGCAGACTCATGAAATTTCTTTCTTATATCTTATTGATACTTAACACATTGGCAGTGAAGGTGTTGTCTTGGTACATCCAGGAAGTTAGAGAGGGGTTAGGTGAACATAGAGTATTGCTTATTCTAGAAGGATCTACCAGAGAGACATCTAGGTGGCTTTAGTTCTTTGCTTTATAATTTTTAAAGAATACTATTATATCTTTCTACCCCATTTCCATTTATAATTTATATATATATATTTACATAATTATGTACATCTATGGCCTAGTGTGTGAAGGTAGAAAAGGCTTTAAAGACATCCAGGTTGTGCGGAGCGTCCCAGCACACAGACTTCTATTTAGTTTAAAGGACTGGATGCCGTACGGTCTGTTGTCATTCTTCATCTCCAGGTGCCACAAGAGGGGTTCCTTTTTCCACCTTCCTTCTTTTCCGTTATTTCTCAGATTTTTCAGCTCCATGGGCAGAATAAAATTGCTTGGGCTTGTGTGGCATTTGTTTGTGTGTCTATTAAAGATCACAGAAGGAGAAAATAAGTGGCAGGCGCCCACAGTCCCGTGCGAGCCGTTCCACCTAAAGCCCAAGTCCCCTTGTATCACTGCCGTCTCCTCGCTCTCTAGACAGGAGGAGAGTTGGGGTGCCGTCGGGGGGGATTAGAGCACCTGCCTAGAATGCACGAGGTCTGGATGTGTCCCCAGCACCTCAAAACAGGGAGGGGGAAGGTCTGTGTCCTCTCATATTTTACTGAATCCTACTTCCATTTTTTAAAAACTTGTAAGTAGGGCCTGGAGAGCTGGCTCAGCAGTGAAGAGCATCTGCTGCTCAATTGTGAGGACCGGAGTGCGGGTCCCCAAACTCAGGTAACAAACCAGGCGTCCCACTTACACATCGTGTGTACACCCCCACAGGTCTGCAGACTCACAGAGACACACAGTAACACATAAATAAGTAACTTTTAAAAACTGCCAAATGTGTTTGTGTATATAAAAGTATTATATTGGATACTGGGTGCGAAGAACGTTAGCACGCCTTTCGTCATTGGTGATGCTGACAGAGCAGAGAACCAGCGAGCGGCATTTCCTGAGGCTTTAACACTCATTAGATGTGGTGGTCTGGAATACGATCCGGGGTCTCAGAACATTGTCTGCTTAAGGGGTTACGGCTCAGAGAACAGCAGGAAGTGCCCAGAATCTCATAGCTAGCAGGGGATGGGACGCCGTGCATTTATAACCTCGACTTGGGCCCAGAGCACTGGTGCTCGGAACTTCCCACAAAGACTTATGCTGGCAGACTGAGGTGAGAGGCTACCATTTGGAGTGCTGTACTGGGGCGGGCGGTGCTCAATATTTAGAACACTTCCTTTTCTAGAGTCTTCTCCCCCCCCCCCCCCCCCCCCCCCCCCCCCCCCCCCCTTTCGTGAGACCCGGTCATTTGAGAATCACCCAACAGGAACTTCAAACATTTCGTAGTAGACATTCCCCGCCCATGCATCAATCCCCTCCCACCTTTTACACTGTTGTGCTGGAAATAAAACCTAGAGTCTGGGACCTGTTAGACATGTGACTCCGTCCACTGAGCCACACCCTCAGCCCCTCAAAGCCCCACAGCTGTTGTGGGTTGTGGGTGTTGCCCAGTGGTAAAGCCCAGCCCAACGTGTCTGAGACCCTGAGTTTAATCTCTGGTTTAGTCTCTGAAGGAGGGGGGATGTTGGATGGAGAGAAAGAGACATTGATAACGAATGGTCTTCCAGTTTAGTTAGATCTACATCATGTAAATGAACACAATCCCAAAGCCTCATTCCTTTCTCATGGGACATATGCGCATATGCTCCTGGAACTTGCAGATTTGGTAGCCTGGTGGTCAGCAAGCCCTACCCCCGCTCCTGTCCCTGCCTCAGCATTGGGATCACGGGTGCACACGGGACTCTAACACGGATTCTGGGGTCTAAACCCAGTTGTGCCTACACAGCACCGCTTATCTAGCTGAGCCATCCCTCGGCCCTGCGACATGTTTATTTTATAGAGATGAGGAAAGCGAGGCCCAGGAGGTGAGACGGCCCACCGTTACCCCAGTTTGTAGTAGGAATTCCAGCTCCCCCCCTTCAGCCAACATTGTAATCCAGGGGTATCATCCCCGCAGAGAAGAGTGCAGGCCACAGTACGAGAAATATCATCTCCATGCTCTGCTTTTCAATCATGTGCTTTCCTGATCCGTCCTGCTCTAGTTTGCTTTTGATGGCTGCTCATGAAGACCATGACCAGAAGCAACAGGTCCCAACCACAGTCCATCAGGAGAAGGCGAGGTGGGGACCTAGGGAGAGGAACTGATGCGGCCACCACGGGGAAGGCTGCTTCTCCTCACCTGAGCAGCCTGCTTTTTAGACAACCCAGAACCATCGCCCTGCCCATGGTGGGGTGGGCCCTTTCATGTCAATCATTCATCTGGAAAATGTCCCCACAGATTTTCCCACAGGCCAGTCTGATGGAAGCAGTTTCTTGGTTGACATCCCCCCCCCCAAAAAAGAAAAAAGACCGAGCACACTTAGCTTTCTGTTGTTCTTTAGGAGTTATTCCAGCATGTGGTTTCAGTTCTTGGGTGTGTGATTTCTGTCAATCCTCACGGCAGGTTTTCCCCCCACTTGGTTGATGGTGAGGTAGTTAGGTCAAGGGTTTGAGAACCGCAGGGAGTAGAGGGCGCATTGCCGGCTGAGTCTGATGCCTGGCTCTAGGTACTACATTTAAAAACACTACCCCTTGTTCATTTGGCATCTGTGATGGGCCTGTTCCCCTGACATCTGTGGTGGCAGGTGGTAGAATTAAACCTGAATGGAAGCCCTGCCTCACCTCTGGAGTTGGTTCCATGTACAGACAGACGGGAAGAGACATTGAACTCAGTTGGCATTCTTACTGCGCACACCGAGGATCTTTTAGGAGATAAGCTGTCCAGTTGCCGGTATTTTATGTGCATCTTTCAGAGCTGTAGCACTGTGACGCGGACCCCATTGAGCTGTAGACTAAGCCTAGGCAGCACCAACCAGCCTTTTCCTCTCACAGAGCAGAGTTCATTGTTCTCAGTTCAATCCCAACATGTGGATGAGGGACTTCCAAGTCACATGATCTTGACCCGTAGATTCCTTTCTGAAGGGGTTGTTGCTGACTTGTCCTGAGCTTGCCCTTTATATGGGGTCTGTGTCAAAACAGGGTGCTTTTCAGATGCCTTAGCATGAGGGTGTTTGCTGGACTCCAGCAACGTGCATCTTGTATTTGTCCTTGTAAACGAGGAGCCACCCTGAGATGTCATTCTAACTTTATCCCCTCTGTAAGAACACTGTCTACAAATGTAGTTGCATCCTGGGGTACTGGGGTTAAGACACTGAGCTGGGCTTTTAAGACAAATGGAGTCACCACACAGCTGAGCCCATAATGGAAGGTGACTGTCATTCTCTCTCTGGATGAAGCAGACCCCCATTGAAATGTCCCCAGTTCCTCTGCTTCCACTGTGTCGTGGTGATGGCACTTATCCACCTGCGAAGTCACCAGTTACAACCCCAGATTTACCAAGTCCTAACATCCCCGGCCTGTTCGAGTAGGACACGAGGCACTGGGCAGGTGCTGGCATTCCCTAAGAGTGGTTGATGCCTCTGCAGGCGAGGCTCCCTTCTGTGGTACAGGTAGGGTCTGCACTGCTGGTGAACTCTCCACACCATGAGTGTTAGACAAGATGGTAGACAATCCAGAGCTCCGAAGGCATGCAGCATTTCACAAATGCAAGGGAATTCTAGCTGTTGAAAACAGAAGGCGGGAAAGTCTTCAGGTCAGACCTCTTCCACCTGATACCGTTAGCGACTATTTTTAACACCCAGCCTAACAGATGACTTGTGCCAAGAGTACAAATTTCAAAAGTTTATATATGGCAAACTTTATTTTATGTATACATGTGTGCACATGTATATGTGAATGGATGCATGAGTGTGCACATATGGAAGCCAGAAGTCAACATAGTATCATTGTTTGGGGTGCTGCCCACCTCCTTTGAGACTCTTGTCTGGAGCTTGCTGATACAGCTTGTCCCAGGAACCCCAGAGAACTTTCCATCTTCACCTTATCAGCATTAGAATCTGATGGAGGTGGGTCTTGTATCTTATCTGTTGCTTTCATTGGTTAATAATAAAGAAACTGCCTCGGCCCTCATAGGACAGAAAATTAGGTAGGTGGAGTAAACAGAAGAGAATGCTGGGAAAAAGAAGCTGAGTGAGGAGTCGCCATGATTCTCCCACGCCAGACAGATGCAGGTTAAGATCCTCCCTGGTAAGCCACCTCGTGGGCTACACAGAATATTAGAAATGGGTTAGAACAATATGTAAGAGCTAGCCAATAAGAGGCTGGAACTAATGGGTCAGGCAGTGTTTGAAAGAATACAGTTTCTGTGTAATTATTTCGGGGCGTAACCTAGCCATGTGGGTGGCCGGGTGCTGGGGATGCAGCCCTGCCGCTCCTATTTCAACAAGAATCCCCAGTGTGTGTCCTCACACTCGAAAATCACCAGTGTGTGTCCTCACACTTGGGAATCACCAGTGTGTGTCCTCACACCCGCGAATCACCAGTGTGTATCCTCACACTTCGCTCTTTTCATCCCTGCTAGGGAGCGACACCCCCCCACCTCCCATCCCCCACTTATTTAATGCTAATAAGTAAAAAATAACTCACTCAGTCATTCTGGTGTCTTGTCTTATAGCTCCTCCCCCGCATAGAGGTTTGCTGATGTTGTATGTGCCTCACTGAGGGAGTGTATGTGTCCACCCTTTCTAGTTATCAAACACCGAAGAGAGCTACCTTTTCCTCTGTTTCTTGTTTCTAAGGATGAAACCCAGAGCCTTATCTACACTGAGCTACAGCCCCATTCGATAGCGCATCTTTGTACCATTACATAGTTATCTCAGTCTCTTTAATAGCTCCCTTACAGTTACCCTTCCTCCACCTTTTACATCCTATCTCCCTCTCTGACCATATTAGTTATTTTTACCCCAAAGATTTAGCTCTGGTTGATTTACTAGTTATTAAGTTCTACTGTACAGCTGATCAGTGTCCACTCTATTGCTTCTTTCTGGTTTGGGTTTATTTTGTTGTTATTTTTAGTTATCGAATGCTTTTACTTCTAGCTGGCTCAAAACTAAGATCACTCCATTGTCCTCTCCACCCTGACTTCATTTACTCTGTATGTCTTTGTTATTAATATCCAGAGTGTGTCTTCTGTACATGCATGGAGTTGGGTTTTGTTCTGAGATGTGATCCTAGCATTTTTATAATAGATGGTTTAACCCATTTACATTTATTGGAATCATAGGTTTGCTTTATCTGTAATAATTCTGTTACACTTTGCTTTCCATGTATCATTTTACCTTTATCAGTTTTATAAAGCTATTTTCCCTAATCTCCTTAAAAATGTTAATTCCCACTTACTTTGCTTGCTCACTCAATCCTGTTTTCATGTCTCACTCTATTGCTCTTTTCTGCAGTAATAATCTTTGTGCTGCCTTTGGCACGCCAGTCATTTCCTGATCTTTTCTTTGTCCTCTTTGCTGCTGACCTCTATTAATTAGGTTTCATCTCAGCTCTCGCTTGCTGTGTTTCCAGGGTTCTCACTGTCTGCAGAGTTGGTGGCCCTCTTGAATCTTCTTCCCTGTGTTGCGGATGTTTTCCCATAGTTGTGTCTGCTCATTGAGCATTTCTCAGCATCAGTCTGTCTTGTTCCTTTTTGTCTGTCTTACAGAGTGCACACCACTCTTTTCATTATCATTACCGCTTGTCACTTTGGATGGTTTTTTTTCCCAGATCACACAGCTGCAGGCTGGCTGTGGACAGAATGTTGTTGCAGATGGGAGAGTCTATAAGCTCTTTTTATTCCTCTGTATCTTTGATGTGTAAGGTGATTTCTCTGAGTGTAAGAATTTGATAATCTATTGTTCAAAGCAGGACCAGGCCTCCAGTATTCTTTAACGTGACACTAGTACCAGGGATGGAGTCTAACGTTAGACCTGCTGTAATGCTGAGGGACACGAGGCTTTGAAAACTACCGTGAATGAACCAGTTATTGAGAATAAATTCAGTCTTGAATCTGAATTCAGCACACTGAGTGTTGTCTTCTAAGTGCAGTGTAGATCAAAGCCCCTGTTCTTCTCTACCCATGAAAGGAGGCCCTGTTGCTCTGTGCTCTAGAAGACGCTGTCCCCATGTGGTATCTCGATGGACAAGTGAATGGCGGGTCTTTGTTTCGGTCCACATTAGAGAACCTCTGAGCACATTCTAAGAGAAAGGAAGGAAAAGGAAGAAGAGAGTTACCACAGACTAGCGCTTTCTGGCAATGTCTCTTTTTGTCTCTGCAAAACTTCTGCTGGGCCATTGTTACCATTTGCCTCATGAAGAAACTGAGGCAGAAAAGGCCAGCTAAGCTTTCAGAGCTGCCAGCCAGCGTGTGCTGGTTCGGAAAGCGCCAGTCATCTCCCAGCCTGGCCTTCTTTTGCCTCCCAGATCACCGTGGTTCCTTGTTAACACCGTCACCACAGTGGCCCTAGGACTCCATAGAGATCCTATGCTCTCACGAAAGGGAATCGTCATGCCTGTAAGGCTCCTCTCCATGCATAAGGGGCTTCTCCGAGCAGCCTTCCGTGACACACCCAACACTTACCTCAGCGTGTTTCCAGCCTAAAGTTTGTAGCCGTTCATTAGTTCCTATGAGCTAAGTTCTTGTTATCTCATCTCACAGATGAGGCTGCTGCTGTGGAGGGAGTCCAGGTAGACATTCCAGTCTCAGCGTGTGTTCAGGAAAAGGACAGAGACTGGCCTTTTTTAGCCTAAACCAAGCCTCCAGCTTGAGGGCCCAGTAGAGAAGTCAGTCACCTTCTGGCTTCATCACCTGCTGTGAATACACACTATGAAGTTGGGGAGTCTAGAGACAGAGCGCCTTGCCTGGAGTGTGTGATTCTGTGGGTTCAGTCCCCAGCACACACACACACACACACACACACTAGATAGATAGATAGATAGATAGATAGATAGATAGATAGATAGATAGATAGATAGATAGGTGGATGGAGGGGGGATTTGGTTTTGGATTTATTAGGTATGGTGATAGTGGCACACACTATAATCCCAGCATTTGGAGGTAGAAGCAGGGGTTCTGAGTTTTAGGTCATCCTCAGCTCCATGATAGGTTCAAAGCCAGCTTGTGAAATACTTGGAACCCTGTCTCCCAAAAGAATAAAAATCAAAAAATTAAATTTAAAAAGGGATGCTAGTCCCAATCATACCATTATCCAGAATGTGTTATGAACATGGTAGAAGCTGGGCAATGGTGGGGCGTGCCTTTAATCCCAGGTAGAGTCAGGGGATCTCTGAGTTCAAGGCCAGCCTTGTTTACAGAGTGAGTTCCAGGACAACCAAAGCTATCCAGAGAAGCTCTGAAGAGAGAGAGAGAGAGAGAGAGAGAGAGAGAGAGAGAGAGAATAAACATGGTAGAAAAAGTCAGACTAGGGATTTTCTACTCCTAAAATGGTTTCTCAGCAGAACATTCCTGACTGGAAAACTGAATCCATATTAGTTAGTGTGTGAGGGTTTGTTCCCTGCGTGTATGTGTGCACCATGTGCATGCAGTGCCCACAGGGTCCATAAGAGGGTGTCAGATCCTCTGGAACTAGAATTACAGGCAGTTGTGGCCAGTCATGTGGGTGCTGGGAAACTCCAAGAGGAGATCGGTGGAGGTGATGTGAAATTTAAATCCCCGGGCACTGAAAGAACAAGTCCTGGCTTTGAAAGCTTGTGTTATGGGAAGAGTCTCAAGTTCATTCCAGTACCATCTTCTTAAGTGACATTTCTTTTGTAAATTGACTCTTCCTTGTGGTGGAGTTTTGGGAGGCATTTGCAGGCGACCCAAGGGCGCTATACTGACTGTGGAAGTAGGTGTCTCAGCGACCTTCTTGTTGCTCATGAAGCCCATGATCCCATGATAACTTTGTTGACTGCACCCACAAATCCATCGCCAGCTGGGGTTTTATAGAGTGGATCCAGCGTGACAGGACCCAGCTGATGACGCATGGCAGCTCACAGAGATGGCGCATTTTCTGTTTTAAAGACTCAGACAAAACTTTTCACAGTTTTCTTTGAAGGAAAAAAATTGCATTTGAAGTCCTTTTTCAAGCCAAACACATCTGGAGATAAGCGCTCACAAGCCTTGACATTATTTCATTTTGTAATACGCGTCTGTCAAGGAACCCAGATATGATACAGCCGCTAAAAACTGGTGATTGTGGGACACTGAGACCTGACAGCATTTCATTTCCTTTATGTTCTGATTACACATTTATCAGAGAACCTGTATCTCTTCCTCGGAATTGGCAGAATTCAGGGATTCAAAGGCTCGGCTAAGAACTGCCCTATTATTCAGTATCATCTTCCCGTTTAGAGAAGTCGCTTGGTGGGGTCATTGTGACAGTATTTGCTTCTCTTTTCATGACTGTGGTCCGCTATCCACAGATCACGTTTCCATAGGCCCTATGGCTGCCTTGCTGTACAAATTAAGTGCCAGGATATTTCCTACGTAGACGCCAGAGTTTCAATGCTTGTCAGTCAGAGTTTGTAATGTTATAGGGATTACAACCTGATATTAACATCCAAGCCTATTGTGCTCATTTTATGCTCGAAAATGAGAAACTTCAGTGCAGATGCTCGGTTCCCTGGCCTCTTTGTCCCCCTGTTTTTAATTTATCTCTGGGTTTTGAGCCAGTAAAATGATTTTGCTTATCAATTTAATGGTGTGATAAAGTGTATCTGCATCAGAGCGATCGGAGCCAAAGTGGACCTACAAGTTGTTTGGGATTCAGCCCTTCTGGGGGTCTAAACGGGGCCGATCGTCCACAGAATGTGAACTTGCCCCGCCTTCTAATTGCACCTCATTGAGCGCTGTGATTTCCTGGGCAAAAAAGGCATTGCCTCCAAGGGGAAGTTTGGAAAAGTATACTCATGTTCTTTTTCCGTATGCCTTTTGCACAGGTGTACTTCAGAAGGAATTATCCAGACATTGCATTCACCAGCCCCGTGGCTACGAACACCTCCAATGGACAGCCCTCGGCCTTAACAATCTTTGAAACAGCGTTGTGACTGCCGGGATGCAGAGCCTGTTCCGAAGGCCTTCCCCTGATGGGGTTGCACTTTGTATGGGGTTGAAAACAGCACACTCCGTTTTCACTCCGCAGCAAACCCTTCACACACGAGATACTGGTGTCTGGATTTCTCCCTTCACCTTTGTTCAGTGATTTCAGGTTCTAACAAAACGGCCGATTGTTTTATTGAAATGTCCCAGCTGCGCTCTTCATATCCGATTCCGAGGTGCCAGCCACTGACAGCAGCTGTCTACCAGGTTTTGTGCCTTAAAAGACTCTAGGGCCGAAGCCCATTTGTTCTGTAAGCTGTCGCAAGCAGTTCGTTTCTTTCCTGTTGCCTTTCAAAGTACACTTTTCCAGTTATATCAGGGACTCCATTTACTTGAAGACTGTGTGAAGTTGCCAGTGTGCCCCCCACCTTCTTTGACATAGATAGCTAGGACCCCTTACCTCCCCTCAAAGGCCTCTGCCTAAAATAGTACAAGTAAAATTAACAAGAATAAGAAAAACCAGATCCTTCAATGGCATTGCAATAGAGAGAGCCTTTCCCTCGGCTCATACATACACAGAGATATGTGGCTAAAGTATGGGCGGACATTTATGTTGGAAAAAGTAAGATTTTGCTTTCTCGGTGGGAGCCCTGCTAGGTGGTTTGGTGAAGGGAACACAAACGTCCCTTCCAGTTTAAGTTAGCATCTCAGGATGAACTGCTCCTGGGCTGATGGACTCAGCATTGCGGTCCTTTTCCCGGAACAGTGGCTCTCACATGGGTAGTATTACTTTCATCTTGCCTCTGTTGACAGAAGGTAAGCCTCCATGGGCCGCAAGCCTTTCGTGAAATCCTTCCAAATGGACATGCAGAGGTCCTCGTGGCGTGAAAACCCTGAAAGTCGCTGCAGGCCATTGCTGTAACTGCGCTTCCCCGTTCTCAGGACCCATGCAGACACTTCACTTTCTAGGGCCCATCCAAATCAGTTTACTTCTGACTACTAATGGCAGGTCTTGGGGACCTTCTGATTGGGGACCTTGGGGTTCTGATTAGTCAATCAACAACCACAACACTCCTTGGACCTGCTGGACTCCACGTAACCACAGGTCTTAAATTTTCCTGGATGGTGGTAGCCATGCAATCTGTTGTGTTCATGCTACTAAAGGCTTTACTGTCATGATTTAAAGTGATCTGTCACAATAAACCACCCTCGAGTTACATATGTTAATATAGACATGCTCACATAGGATCATGTGTGTATATGTCAATCCATATAAATACATATATATGTACATATATATGTATCAGGTTTTAGACTAGTTAACAGAACAAAGCCTGTTTTATAAAATGGAACCTCAAAAGCACACACATAGCAAAACACCAAACACGGAGTGCAGTGGCTGTTTGACTCTTGGTATTCAGAAGTCTGTAATTAGTGTTATAATGTCTAGTCCAATAAGTGATATACATCTGTTCATTAGTAGTCATGGCTACTATTTCAGGAGCCTGGGATGCAGCAATGGCAATAATAAGGTCTGTTTGAATATTTAGAAATGTTTTGAATGTATATATGTTTATTTGGTCTTTAGAAATTAAAGTCAGTCATATAAACGTGTTTCTATTTCATTTCTGTTTTTATGCCAACACAGGATAAACCAAATTCAACTGAAATAAATGGCAGTTTTCATCTCCATTCAAAGATCTGTTGATTCTGTGAGGGATTCCGCACTGACTCGTGTCCTTGCTGGTGAAAGCCAGTGAGCTGTTGTGAAATCAGTGGCACCTTCCGCCACCACCTGTTTCTCTTGGCCACTTGGGTACCAGACAGTCCGAGTGCAGGTGTGGGCTGCAGACAGCCTGGAACAGTTGCTCCTGAAGCTGCTGAAGGTGTCGGTAACTCCTTCCTAGAGGAGACTATTAGCTTCATCCCCAGGCTTGAACACGCATCAGATGGTTATGGTTTTGGGTTTTCTTAAGGTGACTTTCCCCTCAAACTCACAGGAGGAATCTATTGCCATTCTCTTTAAAGCCCTGTTGAATGCTGGTTCTCAGCAAGCGTGGCCTCGGCCAGCAGCAACTTTACCTGGAAGCATGAGAGTGAGAGGCTTCTGTTTCACTCAGATGGACTGGGACTGAGTCTGTGCTGTGGAGACCATGGTCTGGTTCGTGAAGCCGTAACATTCCTGTTCACAAAAAGAGTCTCACAACTGATGTCCTAGAACCTTAAAAACCCTCCAGCTCCTTAGGAAAATCTCAGGGTCCACTTAGAGGTGAACAGGAGAACTGAACAGGTGCCTCATTGATGAGACCACTCAGATGGCCAGAATTAGCAAAGGGCTCACTCTTGCTAAGAAAAGACAGTTTAACATTGCAATTGGGGCACGAAGCAAAACCCTGAGACTGTCAGCTGCTAAAGGCCAGTGAAGCAACAGGAATGCTCCTGTAATACTACATGAACCTACTCAGTAAAATCAGACAAACTTTGGGTCAGTGAGATGGCTCAGCGGGTAGTGGCACTTGCCACCAGGCCTGACAACTTGAGTTTGATTCCTGGAACCCGTGTGGTGATAGGAGAGAACCAACTCATGAAAGGTGTCCCCTGACCTCGATATTGTGTGTGCACAGACATAGACATACACATAACACACACACAAACACACACACAAGTGAATGAATATCTTAGAAAGATATCTTGATGACACTTGCTGAAGCCATAGCCCCTGTTGTTGGGAGCAGTGAGACCCCAGATCCTGAATTTCTTGTAATCCCCTGATCCAAGTGCCTACAGCTGCTCTGAGCACGAGACCTTCAGGAGTTCCTGATGGCAGGAGAGTGGTTTCTGGTGGGTTTGGCTGGGGCGTGGCTATCTCTATATAATCTGTCCCTGAACACAATAAAGGGGGCATTCTTGGGGAATTCAAGGATAGCCCGTGTCGCTATCTCTCTGTCTGTGTGTATCTGAGTATTTTAACCTCCAGCCCCTTGCCTGAAGCTCGCGAACTGGGTGCCAGCGCACAGAGCGCAGAAACGGGCGCGGTGCGCGGCACCCTGTGGTTTGTGCCCTCTGGTATACGCACATAAGCACTAAGAAGTATGCAGGATGTCATTGGGAGCACAATTCTAAGTATTTTAGCCTGGAAATAAGTGAAATTCTTACCAGCACAGAAGCAGCAGGTGCTAGAACACAGCGTTGAAAACGAAGTACAGGCACAACACACAAATTTTAGGAACATGACCTCATTTCAAAGATGTCTGACCCAAAAGACTTACAGTTCCACTTATACAGAATTCAAAGCTAACTATAACTAAACTGTAATGTACAAAACCTAGTGGCACTTACTTTAGGAACCTGAAACTGTTGGCGGTCGGGTGAGATGCAAAGCTTCTAGGGGCTAGAGAGATGACTTAGTGGCTAGAAGCACTGGCAATTCTTCCAGAGGACCCGGGTTCAACTCCCAGGCTCCACAGGGCAACTCAGAGTCATATGCAGTTACGGCTCCAGGGGATCCAACATATAATAATAATAAAACAAAGGGGCCTTTTGGAGTATTTAACTTCCCGCCCACCATATGTGTGTATTTGGGGTGACTGGCCTGAGTAGTGTGTAGACTCGTACTCCAGACTTTCCGTACCCTCTGTGCCTTTAATATGCAGTACCCCACGACTAAGTGAGTCAAACTGTGCTCACTGCTATCTGTCAGAATCTCGGCTTCAGCCCCTGAGTCTTCCCACAAAGAGAAGCGCCTGGGTGCAGTCATGACTCATGCGCAGCTGGGAAATCATTCCTCCCGAGTTCTTCAAATGCATGGCTGTTCTAGGCTTATCTTGTAGCCTGGAGCAAGCAAAGCATTTGCAACTCTTGGAGCTTGGGCAGCCAAGGTCTGCATGTGCCCTGACTGGTGTGAGATGTGTATTTGAAAGGTCATGCTAACCCTGTTAGCCTAAGACTTTCACCCAGCAGCTAATCACATCCAAATGCACTGTTTCTGTTTCCACCTTTTCATCGTCTGAGATGTAGAAATCAGTATTTTGGGTATGCGTATAATTTGCTAATGAAAATCCTCCCCGAGAACCAGTTCTTTGGGTCCAGATTGCAGGTTGGCTTGTAGAATGAAGAGTAAGATGGATTTTAGGGTTCAGCATGCTTACTGGTATGGGCAGATATGCCCTCAGGACCCACACTTGTAGCACCAAGAAAGAAGACTCGTGGTTGGCCGGAAGGGAAGGCTTATCCAGACGCCCTTCCCCCAACATCCACACCATGAGACAGGACAAAGCTATGATGGTGCACACAGATTGTCTTGACGTGTGAAGTAGCTGGGCCTTCCTCAGTCATTGCACGTAGCTGTCCCCGACCCACAAGATGTCTGCTGAGTGGATAGCAATGGCTGGCTTCTAACCTTTAAAATGATCAGTTTTAAGGGGTAGCCTATGGTAATGGACTTCTGGTTTTGAGGTCAGTAGCACAGGTCTGGGTGCCAATTATACTGTTACTCCAGTAACAGGGTTTTCCAGTAACAGAAGAATTTACTACTCAGAGTAGGAAGGCTTGAGAAGCTGAATGGGGGCTTGACAACGGCCTTTAACTTGAGCTTCGGATGTTCTCTCTCCCGGCTTCTGGGATCCAGGTACACACATGGTACACGCATTTACGTGAGCACTCACACACATAGAACAAAACTGAACTTAAAAATGACTACCACCTTCACTCTGCAGGCCTGGTTCCCTGTGTGAGTCAAGACGAGAATACAGTTCTTTAAGAGCAGCCAGGGTCAAGACAGATCCCTGGGTTCCAACACCTCTGCGAGGTCCTAATTAAACTCAATCACTTAGCAGCCATCTGCATGAAGCCAGCAAGATAAACTACAAGGATCCATCCCCCAGGTAAAAGGGAAATGATTATTGTGAAAACCGTGTCTGATACAGAAGTTAATCACAGTTATTTGGGGGAGAGAATCACATGAAAAACGTGTTTAAAATCAAGTTTTGCAGATTGCTCTGACAAAAGCTAAAACGAGGGCGTGTGAGGTAGCATTTCTATCACGTTAGTAGCTTCTTAAGTAAGGTGTCGGGAGGTCACAGGTTAAGAATGCAGAAACTTTCCATTTATGAGAAATGAATCAATTAAAAATAATTCAAGTATCCACACTAACAATAAGATGGGAGTGGAGATGGGTAAGTGGGTAATGAACAGACAGATGGAATTAAAAGCTTTTAGTAACAGAATAGCAACTAATAAATATAGAACAATTGATAGAAAAACATCCGTGGAGCCACCATTGTCAGCAGCAATTCAGACAGTTCCAACACTGGTTTTGCTAACTGGGCCTAAATGGATATTTGGGCAAAAACAACAAATACCCATTTGTGGAAATGTGTTTTCCCATAGTACGAGGGGAATTTTATGTTTACCATAGCAAAATCTGGCAGACACCTCCTAACCAAGCACCAGGTCTGACCTAAGGCAGCAGATAATGTTAACAACAGTGAGACCAGCTAGCACCCTGTCTCTTGATGTGTGCAGCCATGACTATGCCCGCCTCACTTTCATGACACTCCTGAGGTCATCAGCCATCCAACGAACCAGAACTGAGAACATTCTACAAGATGCCAGGCCTGTGCTCCTAAAAACTGTCGGTAGCCATTAAAGATTGCAGAAGTATTCCCATGTAGGCAGTAACTTAAAGGCCATGGCAATCGAATACATGGTGATCCTGGATTTAAAAGAACAATAGTAAAGACAGCAACGACAGTTGGTGATATTGGAGTAAAAGCCATACAGTTGCTAATAGAGTTTTACCCATGTTAAGCCTCCTGAATTTGCTTTTTATTCTAGGCAATGTAAGAAAATAACCTTATGAAATACACACTTACTCTTTAGCAGTAAAGGCCTATGATGTCTGCAACTTATCCACCAATGGTTAAGCAAACATGGTTAGGTATATATGTGCATATACATAACATGCACATCATATATGCATAGTATATACATAGATAGCATGTACATGATTACAGATAAAAATATTAACAGGACGGAAGGCAGAGGCAGAAGGAAAATGTTAAGTGAGAATCTAGATGAAGGTCCGAGTCTGTATCGCTGAACTCTCTTGTGTTCTTTGTTCAAAACACAAAGTCAGAAGCCAACATAAATGCTGTCTACTGTTCAGCCGCAGAGTGAAGAACCCACACCGGGATAAGCAGGAGCTGACTGTACGAGTTCGAGAAAAATCAGTCAACTCTTAATTTTGAGTTTGATTTGAACGGCTCCCTCACACGTAGCTTAAGGCAAAGACTATCACTCAATCTGCATACCTGTGTGAGGTGTGCATGTGTGTCAAGTGCTGAGTAGCTAGAGCCTTACCCAGAATGCAGGCAGAACCACTCCTGGCCACTCCTGGAAACCTGGCTCATCAATGATTCGGAGTTTGGAATTTTTAATACCTTGAAAGCTCTCATTGTCCTGTAAATTCCTAGTAAGAAAACTTTCAGCAGCAGAAGGCCCCTGAGTGACTAGCTCTGCTCTTGGGACACCATGCAGATGGCCCATGGCACTGGGACTCAGCTGAAGTTCACTTTTATCAGGAAGTTCTATGGTTTTCCACAATGGAAAGGTAT